CTTCTTATGGTGCTTAAGTGGGCCTCAAATAAAGACCCAAATAAGCCCCAAAAGAGGCCCAAAAAAAGAAAGACACATAGGTCCCCCCCCCTTAGGGTTTTAATTGGGCCTCAAAGAAAGACCCAATAAAACCCTAAAGTAAGAGAGACAAACAACAACACACACACATAGAATTGGGCCCGCTAACACACAAATGCGAGGCCCAACAAGTCAACATGAAAATACAAAGAAAGATATGGGTGAGCTCAAGCTCGTCATCATCATGGAGGTGGAATGTCGTTGTCCCAAAGGGCTAGGCCGTGTAGCGAAAGCCAGGCTCCTTCATCTTCGCACGTCAATCGGGCTGAACTCGGACTGCTGGTGTCTCCTGAGCTGATGGAGACGGGTCCCGCTCGCCATCATTAATCCTTCACCGGCGATCTGCAAGAAAGTCGCGATAATCAGATAAAAATATATGAATTTTGACTCTGGGAGGATTCGAACCCGTGCCGGTCGCCCGCCTTTGAGGAAGGTGTGACGCGGGTTTAGTCCCACATCAGTTGTGCGCCAATTTTTTGGGCGAATATATAGTAATGTTAGCTTTGTAAGCAAAGTCCCTTCTCTCGCGTGTACGATCACTCCTTGCCCCACAGCCGGCTGGCCACCGGTGACGTGGAAGGGGAGTGGCGCACACGTGCCCCTATCGGTCCAAGCTAAGCCGCTCGAGCCCCTGCTCGCGGCTACTCCCCGACTGTGCTTCTAACCCGCTTGCGGGCCCAGCTGGCCGACGGGTCCCCTCATTTTGCAATATTTTTATTTTTATTTCTTGTTCTTCATTTATTTCAAAAGTAAGACTATAAAAACCATATAAAATCACATAATTACCCAAAAATTCACGTTAATCAACTGAAAACCACAAATCATACTTTAACATAAATATAAGTCTATTTATCATGAGTTAAGGCTAAAACTATATTATTTACTAATTATTTACTCATGATAATGAAGACTTATCAATAGACAAAGTCAAAATCGAAGTGATCAAGTGTCTACCTCTTTCTAGTAATTTAAAACAACTTAGAGAGTTCCTCAGCCACACAAGCTTCTATAGAAGATTTATTAAATATTTTACAAAGATTTCTAAACCCTTAACTAATCTCTTGTCCAAAGATGTTGATTTTATTATTGATAGTGATGCTTGGATTGCTTTTAATCAAATTAAAGATGCACTTATTCAAGCTCCTATTTTGCAGGCCCCTGTTGGAGCTTATCCTTTGAGCTAATGTGTGATACATCAAATTTTACGGTGGGAGCAGTCTTAGGCCAAAGAATCGACAAGAAGCTGATGACCATCTATTACGCTAGTAAGACCTTGATGGATGCTCAGGTAAATTATTCAACTACTGAAAAGGAATTACTAGTCATTGTTTTTGCTTTAGAAAAGTTTAGGTCTTATTTATTAGGTAGTAAGATTGTTATTTTTTTTGACCATGTAGCTTTGAAGTTTTTACTTAGAAAGAAAGAGGCTAAACTTAGGCTTCCTAGGTGGATACTTTTGTTACAAGAATTTGATATTGAGATAAGGAATAGGAAGGGAAGTGAAAATGTAGTGGCTGATCATTTATCGAGGATGACTGTAGTAGACTCATAGCCCATTAGTGATTCATTTCCCGATGAACATATTTTAGGAGTTCAAGCGAGGAAAATTCCTTGGTATACATATAGTAAATTATCTTGCTATAGGAATGTTGCCTTTAGATTGGGACTACAATGAGAGGAAAAAATTCTTCAAAATATTATCACATTATTATTAAAAAGAACATGAATTATTTTATTTAAGAGTTGATTAAATTTTGAAGAGATGTGTGCAAGAGGAGGAACAAGAATTTTTTTTAGAGTTTTGTCATTCATCACCATGTGGAGGCCATTATTCTTCTAAAATTACAACTTCAACGGTCTTACAATGTGGGTTTTATTGGGTAACTTTATTTAGAGATTTTTATGATTTTTGTTTAAGGTGTTTAAGATGTCAAGCGACCATTAATTTGAGTAAGAAAGATCATATGCCCCTTAAGTGAATTTTAGAAATAGAGATATTTGATTTATGGGGAATTGATTTCATATGGCCTTTTCCAAATTCAGAGGGATATGAATACATTTTGATGGCAGTAGCTTATATGTCTCGTTGGGTAAAAGCAATTCTCACTAGAACCAATGATGGAAAGGTGGTAGTTAAATTTATAACAATTAAGGTTTGGATGTCCTAGGGCCATCATTAGTGATGGAGGATCACATTTTCATAATTATCAATTTAAGACCCTATTGAAAAGATATAGAGTTCATCATAGGATAACTACACCTTATCATCCACAAGCCAATGGACAAGTAGAAGTATGTAATAGAGAGATAAAAAAAATTCTGTAAAAAATCTATAAGCTTGATGGAAAGGATTGATCTAGAAGATTATATCATGCTCTATGGGCATATAGGACAACATATAAAACTCCTTTAGGCATGTCACCATATAGATGATTTTTTGGTAAAGTATGTCATCTTCCCTTAGAGCTAGAGCATAGAGTATATTGGGCAATTAAAAAATTAAATTTATCTCTTGATGATGCTGAAAAGAAATGATTACTTGAATTACATGAGTTGAATGAGATTCGAAATGAGGCACATGAGAATTCTAAGATCTATAAAGCTAAAATGAAAGCATTTCATAACAAACAATTAAGAAGAAGAGAATTCAAAGAAAATCAAAAAGTATGGCTTTATAATTCAAGATTTAAGCTCTTTTCTAGTAAGTTAAAATCTAGATAGGATGGTCCAGTTATTATTACTAAAGTCTTTGAATGTGGTGTTGTTTTAATTGAGGGTCCAAAAATAGGATAGCATATAAAAGTGAATGGACAAAGATTGAAACCTTGTAGAAAATGATTCACTTTCTCCATCAATCTCAATTAATTTTAATAAGTCATTCCGTGAAACTAATGATCCTCTTAACTTCACTGCACAAGCCTAGTAGTTACTTTTTTTTAATTTTCATTTTAGTATTTTTCTTTCGTGTGTGTTTTGTTTTGTATTTTTATTTTCTTTTCTATGTAGAAGGGCCTTGAAATCTCCATGATTTTTTGCTGCTGAGAGAGATGATCATAAAAGTCACAAAGGGCTATCTCCATTCTTGCAAATAAAGCATCTACCCTCGGTTTGAAAAATTTACTTATGTTAATTCTTTCCACATGCATTGAGGACCATGCATGATTGAAGTGGGGGGTATGAGTCATTTACATGTCTTCTACAAAAATTTTAAAATTTTACATGTGACTGATGCATTTTTAGTTTTTTTACTAAGTGGAGGATATCTACTCATAAAAATATTTTCAAGGGTTATCAACCCCACCTTAGTGAGTCTATTCACCTAGAAATCTTGGAATTTAGGGCATAGAAGTTAGGCTACTACAGCAGATTGAGATCAACTCAGAATGACACAACCATGGGACCTAGATCAATTATGAGGATTTTTATATAATGGATGACCTCCTACGAGTGGGATATCTAATGAGCATCAAAGGAATATGAGAAATCAAAAGGTTGAAGTACTATTGGTGTGGACTGGAGAGAATTGAGTGATAGAAAATTTAGACCCCCTACCCTATGTCAATCAATCCTACTTGGTATATGGATTCTCATTGATCAAAAAAATTCTTTTTGGAATAGTGAAAGGACATTTAATCTTAGGTACAGAATGATATCCATACATTTCTTATCCACTATACATTATTCAGTCCCTATATCTTATCCAACCATACCATTTTATCCCTTGACCAAAATTTACCCTTCAAATTTTCACAATTAGGCCACCCTATTTCCATTAATTTTTCATCTCCACTCATGATGGTTGTTACCCCAAATAACACTTATTCTTTACATGTGTCATTTATTCTTCTCCATACTCATCTTTCTCAATATTTTATCATCCTCTTCTAAGTTGTATATGTTTGAGTTAAGATTTTCATTCATCAAAAAAAAAGAAAAAAAAAGAAAAAAATGAGGAGAATAGAGGAAAGAAAAAGTCATTGACGAGTAGAGATCAGTGAGGAATTCTTATCTACTTATTTCATATTCTCACCCCCCTCTTGGAGTGTGTTTTTTGTCTCTCTTTAACAGTGGCTAGTTGAAGAAAATAGGAAGGAAATCAAGGCTTAATCAACGGTATTCTCGTGCCCAAGATCATCGTGGAGAAGAGATTACCTGGAGCACATCAAGATCATCACAGATCAAGCATCACTCGGTCTAGGACTGGTGCACAACGAGGTTTGTGTAAGATCCAGATTTGAGCATCTTTGTAATCCTCTTCATAGATAGATTAACTTTTAATTTAAATTAGTTTTATCATTTATTCTATCATTCCATTGCGTTAGATCAATTCTCTCTCTTTTTTCATGCTTTTCACAACTCTTGTCTTTACCTTTTTACATTTAATTCCACCCTTCACAATCTCACATATATATATATATATATCTATATAAGAAATAAAATAAGTAGAATTCGTACTCTCATTACCCACACTCTCTAAGGATCAACCCTTACTTATCCTAAGTAGAAGAGTGACATTTTATAAATCTTATTTGCATGAACTTTGTTGCATCACAATGACGTATTTAACCTCTAATTCGATTCATTAGTAGTGTGGAATTTGTAAAGGTTGAAGGAGATCAGCCAAAGAAAACACCTTTGATTTGTTTGTTTGGTACACTGGGCAGATAGTCATATTGTGTTTGACTACTACCTTAATTTTATGCTAGTGTACGCTCTACTTAGGTTAGAGGTAGGTTTGCTGAAAGTCAAAGTGACCTCCTATTGTTGTGTCATAGAACTCATGCAGAAGGGCTGGAAGAAGACACAAGGTCACCAAGATCATGACCCATCCTTGGTGGAATAAGTGCCCCTATTGCAACGAATAGTGTCTCCATTTTGCTGGCTCGGTGCACAGTTTGTCCATGATTTTTTGAAGATATGGGTCAACTTGATTCTCTTGGGCAATCTCCATGAGGTTGAACAGCTCTAGGCAGAAGAGGGCTAGTGTCTAAAGCCATACCTATTGGGGGGTACATGACAAGACATCCGCCACACAATTCTCATGGCCTAATTTGAAGCATATTTAGAAGTCAAACAAGATAATCTTCACCAACCACTTCTAATAATTTGAAAGGACCTGTTGTTGCTCTAGAAAAATCTTTCAACTCTACTAGTATGTGTAAATCTAGAACATGTGACCAAGAAGGTAATGCTGTCACTTGAGGGTGGTTAAGACAATGACAGTGAGCGCACGCTCCTAAGTGGGCTTTTGGTGGTGGGTTGGTGCCAATGCCCAACTGAAGAATGCCATTGGTCTTCAATGTTGCATGAGAACCACTCCTATGCCATGTCTAGAGGCATCTAACTCAAACCATTGAAAGGCTTAAATGTGGTAGAGAAGTCTGACAGTGCTAACTATCGTTAAGGTCTGTTTGAGCTGTTAAAAGGTTTCATCGACCATTAGGAGCAGAATGCCTTCTTCTTCAGCTATTATGTCAGTGGCCAAGAAATTTTTCCGAAGTTGTAGACAAAAAGTTAGTAATACTAGAGGAACCCAAGAATCTTTAAAGGTTGTAAAACATCATGGGTGATGACCACTAGTGAACTGTAACAATCTTCTCTAGGTTGATAGTGACATCATCTATAGAGATTGATAAGTCTTCATTATCATGAGTCAATAATTAGTAAATAATATAGTTTTAGCCTTAACTCATGATAAATATACTTATATTTGTGTTAAAGTGTGAAAAGTGGTTTTCAATTGATTAACATGATTTGTAGGCTAATTATGTGATTATATACGAATTTATATGATTTTAACAGTCTTACTTTTGAGATAAATGAAAAAAAAGAAATAAAAATAAAAATATAGCAAAATAGGGGGTACCCGCCGGCCAATTGGGGCCACAAGTGGGTCGGAAGCGCAATTGGGGAGGAGTCACGAGTAGGGGCTCGAGCGGCTAAGACTAGTAGGGGCACGTCTGCGCCACTCCCCTTTCACATCACCGGTGGCCAGCCAGTTGTGGGACAAGGAGTGGTCGTACACGCGAGAGAAAGGGACTGATAAGTCTTCATTATCATGAGTTAATAATTAGTAAATAATATAGTTTTAGCCTTAACTTGTGATAAATAGACTTATATTTGTGTTAAAGTGTGAAAAGTGGTTTTCAGTTGATTAATGTGATTTTTTAGGTAATTATGTGATTTTATACGAATTTATATGATTTTTGCAGTCTTACTTTTGAGATAAATGAAGAAAAAGAAATAAAACTAAAATATTGCAAAATGGGGGGGGGGGGACCCGCCGGCCAGCCGGGCCCGCAAGTAGGTCGGAAGCTCAGTCGGGGAGTAGCCGCGAGCAGGGGCTCGAGCGGCTTGGACCGATAGGGGCATGTGTGCGCCACTCCCCTTCCACGTCACCGGTGGCCAGCCGGCTGTGGGGCAAGGAGTGGTCGTACACGCGAGAGAAGGGACTTTGCTTAGAAAGCTAACATTACTATATATTCGCCTAAAAAATCGGCGCACAACCGATGTAGGACTAAACCCGCGTCACACCTTCCTCAAAAGGGGCGGACAACCGACGCGGGTTTGAATCCTCCCAGAGTCAAAATTCATATATTTTTTATCTGATTATCACGACTTTCCTGCAGATTGCCGGTGAAGGATTAAGCAACCAGAATCGCTAGATCATCGGCAAAAATCTCGTCAACGCGATTCGCGGAGCATTGCTACTAAAATTGCTGAACGATTCGCGATAAAAGGATCGCGAATCCATCGAGTAAATTATCTCCGATTGATCGACGAACAAGCCGTCGTCGGGAAGAGGACGATCCGCCGGGAGACGAGTCGCCACCTCTTGAGAGCGTACCAAATGCGATGAAGAGCCTCCTCCTGCTACGCGGACCTGAGGATGAAGCTCCCTGACACGTGCCCCACCTCCATCCAGCTCCTCTCCGTCGGGTGATAGCCGCCGGAGAGCCGCAAAGTCGCCGTTTTTCCGCTCTGCCGGGTGACAGCCGCCAGAGACGACTCGGCGACCCATTTCATTAATTTCTAGACTTCACGAGAAGATCTAGAGATTGCCCACGTCGTCTTTGTCCAAGGAGAGCCTTCGAGGCCGTGGACACTGCACGACGATCCTCCCAAACGCTCAGGATTCCGGTGCATCGCCGACGCATCACCGTCGCGACGCCGGAACTCTATTTTCCTGCTTTCAAACTTACTTTACGCTTCATTTAGTGATACTTTTTGTGATTTTAATTTACCAAAATATACTTTGTTCTATTACGATTCTTCCGGCTTTTACAGATCTTAATTTGATTAACTAAATTGTCTGTAATCGCTTTCGTAAGAATCATCGGGCGGAACTCTATTTCTGCCCAATTCGCGTTTGCTGGGCGCTAACGTCATCTTGACGTCCGCACCCTTATTTCCTTCTTTTTCGTGAATTTTAAATATATTTCCTTTTCATTTCCTAGTATAAAATTCATAGAAAATCGTATTCATTGAGAAAAATTTGGAATAATTACCAGATATTATATTACATCCCTGTGATCGACCTGGAAAATTATCGCTATTTTTGGAAGTTTTATTGAATTATAAGTGATATATTTATTCAAAAATACTTCTAAATATCTGAAAATTCGTATTTTCTAGTTTTATAAATTTTATATTTGCGTGATTTAATATACAATGACTGAGTCACGTCAGGGACTTACTTGCAAGTATAATATTACTATATATTCATCCAAAACTTCAACACACAAGTATGTGGGACTAAACCTGCATCACACCTTCCCTAGAAGGCTTTGATGATTTTAATACCTACAATACCCATTATTTATAATAGAGATATACCATGATGACATCATTTTATAAGAGCATTAGAGTACTTATATCAATCTCTCTCACGTAGGCGAGCAATCGGCGTGAGTTCGAATCCTCCTAGAACCAAAACTCATATTTTTTATCTGATTATCGTGACTTTCTTGCATATCGTCGGTGAAGGATTAAGCCGCCAAAATCGCTAGATCATCGGCGAAAATCTCGTCAACATGATTCGCGAAGCATTGTTACTAAAATTACTAAACGATTCGCGATAAAAGGATCGTGAATCCATCGAGTAAAGCATCTCTGATTGATCGACGAACAAGCCATTGTCGGGAAGAAGACAATCCGCTGAGAGATGAGTTGCCATCTCTTGATAGCATATCGGATGCGATGAAGAGCCTCCTCTTGCTGTGCGGACCTGAGGATGAAGCTCCCTGACACGTGCCCCACCTCCATCCAGCTCCTCTCTGATAGGTGACAGCCACCGAAGAGCTGCAAAATTGTCATTTTTCTGCTCTGCCGGGTGACAGCCATCAAAGATGATTCAACGACCCATTTCATTGATCTCTAGACTTCGCAAGGAGATCTAGAGATTGCCCATGTAGTCCTTGTCTAAGGAGAGCCTTCAAGGCCGTGGACACTACACGACAATCCACCCGAACGTTCAAAATTTTAGTGCATCATTGACGCATCGTCACCTCAATGTCGGAACTCTATTTTCCTACTTTTAACTTAATTTTCACTTCATTTAGTGATAATTTGTGTGATTTAAATTTATCAAGATATACTTAATTCAATTATGATTCTTTTAGCTTTTATAGATCTTAATTTGATCAATTAAATCGTATGTAATCACTTATGTAATTACTGCTAGATAGAACTCTATTTTCGCCTGATTCGTGTTCGTCGGGCGCTGACATCATCCTGACATCCGCACCCTTATTTTTCTTTTTTGTGAATTTTAAATATAATTTATTTTCATTTCCTAATGTAAAATTCATAGAAAATAGTATTATTTGAGGAAAATTCTAAATAATTACTTAATATTATATTATATCTCTGTGATCGACTTAGAAAATTATCACTATTTATGGAAGTTTTATTGAATTATAATTAATATATTTGTTCAAAAATACTTCTAAATATCTGAAAATTATATTTTCTAGTTTTATAAATTTTAAATTTACGTGATTTACTATACAACAACTAAATCACGTTAGAGATCTAGTGACCTTGGTACCTGATCCTTATCTAATTGAACATACACTTCTTGGGGTGAATGTGGAATTAATGCTCAAGAAGGATGAGAAATACTTTGAGAAGATGGCTCTTGTGTTCGTTATTAGTCCAACTGTAGACGACACTGTCGTTGAAGAACAGCATGAATCTTCGTAAAAAATGTGTGAAGATGAAGTTCATCATGGCCTGGAAGGTCACTAAGGTGCTGGATAAGCCGAAGGGCATTACGAGGAACTTGTAATATCTATGATGTGTCTAGAATGCCATCTTGGGCACATCCTCTACACGTAATAAATTTGATGGTAATAAGAAAACATGTCTAGCTTTAAGAACACCGTGGCTCCATGCAGCTCGTCAATGAGCTTGTCCACAGACGTCTAGAATTACCAACATTGCTGCCACCTACTTCTCTAACTCATTTTTTAAAAGTGAGGGTAGTGAAAGGGACAAGTGTGAATAGTTTGGCTTTTCTATTTTACAATGATGTAGTGCTCCTGGTCACTACATGGGGGAAGGTCAATAATGTCAATGAAGACTTATAAAATACACAATTGGAGCTTTACCGCTTGTCATCCATCGATTGCCTTAACTTTGCCTAACTCAAGTTGGAACAATTTGAAATATATTTCACCTTTGTAGGGTTGGCTGACCAAGGTGTCTAGGTGGAGTTGGGTACCCTTGTCAAGTGGTTCCACCATGAGCGTCACTTTCTCCGTGCTGGCAGGGAATGACAGGGTCTAGTCATCAAGGTATAGCTCGAGCTTGTGCCTTTCCTGCACCCTTTTCATGTCTAGGATTATGTCAACCGAGGCTAGAGGAAAGAAGAGGAAATTGCCTAAAATGACGATTTCTAAAAGGTCCACAATGAGGCTTTGGAACATTTATGAGCTAAAAACCATCTCGTTTATGTCGGTGGTCACCTAGTATCATGTCATCTTAATGATGGGTAGCTACAACTCGTGAACCAGGCGATTGCTAATAAAGTTGAATGTCACCCCATGTTGAGCAAGGTAGAGACCAATCGTCCTTGGACCGTCTCTTTGAGTGGCTTGCGAGTGAGTGGAGGGCAACTTCAAGCTAGATGATCTCACCATCATCCAAGAGGTGTCCTAAGAGAGCTCCTCCTCTTTTTTGTCGTCTTGTAGGTAGTTAGAGTCAGCTAACATGAATAGGATATTCAATTCACATCTGCACTAATGGCTTGGCACAAACTTCTCATCGCAATGGAAACACATGCCTTAGGCCCTTCAGACCTGGATTTCTGCCGCCGTGAGGTGTAAGTGCTGTCAACGATCTACCGGAGGTCCACCACCTATGAGGGCTGGAGCACCCACAATGGTTGGGCTAGATCCCTATCCTCCTTCTCGATTGCTCACTCCAGTTGACGGAACATGTTGTTGGCACCTGTCGTACACCGAAGGCCTCTCTCCGGCCCTCTACCCTACCATAGTCATCCCATGTTAGTCAATGTTAGTAGTTTGGTCTCTATCCTTTGGGCCATCCTCATTATCACCTCTAATCCTTATGGGTTGAGAACGATAATTTTAGCTTGAATCTCCCATCACAGGCCCTTGAAAAAGTTTCCTTCTAATATGACATCTAGTATGTCACAAAGAACACCAAACATGACTTCAAGTTATTCACGATAGCCCTCTACCGAGTCTATCTACTTGAGTTCAAGGAACTATTGGCAAAGGGAGCTGAAATACTTGTCTCTGTAATGCTCTAATAGTCAATATTTCAGATCTTCCTAACTGTGGAATGTTTGATGAGATTTAACCCATTAGAGCCAATAGAGGGCTTTCACTCTCATACTATGACATGCCTCTACTAGTTGTTTGGGTGTTGTCAGTCAGTAGGTGGAGAAATATAGCTCCACATAATAGACCCATCCTTCTAGGTTAGAGTCAAAAAATATCAGAAATTTCCACCACCGATGAGGTTGGGTTTCAATAGATTCCTCTGCTGCCATCAGTCGATGGGTTTGTTGTGGCTCTGATGGTTCACAATTGGCTCCTCCTAGTGCTAGGTGATAAGTCTTCATTATCATGAGTTAATAATTAGTAAATAATATAGTTTTAGCCTCAACTCATGATAAATAGACTTATATTTGTGTTAAAGTGTGAAAAGTGGTTTTCAATTGATTAACGTGAATTTTTGGGTAATTATGTGATTTTATACGATTTTTATAGTCTTACTTTTGAGATAAATGAAGGAAAAGAAATTAAAATAAAAATGTAGCAAAATCAGGGGGACCCGCCGGCCAGCCAGGCCCGCAAGCAGGTCGGAAGCACAGTCAGGCATGAGCCGTGAGCAGGGGCTCGAGCGGCTTAAACTAATGGAGGCACGTGTACGCCACTCCCCTTCCACGTCACCGGTGGCCAGCCAACTATGGGGCAAGGAGTGATCGTACATGCGCGAGAAAGGGACTTTGCTTAGAAATGTAACATTACTATATATTCGCCCAAAAATTCGGCGCACAACTGATGTGGGACTAAACTCGTCACCTTCCTCAGAAGAGGCGGGGCAACTGGCGCGGGTTCGAATCCTCCTAGAGCCAAAACTCATATTTTTATCTAATTATCGTGACTTTCCTGCAGATCACCAGTGAAGGATTAAGCAACTAGAATCGCTGGATCATCGGCGAAAATCTCGTCAACGCGATTCGCGGAGCAATGTTACTAAAATTGCTGAAGGATTCACGATAAAAGGATCGCGAATTCATCGAGTAAATCATCTCTGATTAATCGACGAACAAGCCGTCGTCGGGAAGAGGACGATCTACCGGGAGACGAGTCGCCACCTCCTGAGAGCGTACCAGATGCAATGAAGAGCCTCCTTTTGCTGTGCGGACCTGAGGATGAAGCTCCCTGACACGTGCCCCACCTCCATCCAGCTCCTCTCCGTCAAGTGACAGCCATCGGAGAGCTGCAAAGTCGTCGTTTTTCCGCTCTGCCGGGTGACAGCCGCTGGAGACGATTCGACGACCCATTTCATTGATCTCTAAACTTCGAAAGGAGATCTAGAGATTGCCCACGTCGTCTTTGTCCAAGGAGAGCCTTCGAGGCCGTGGACACTGCACAACGATCCTCCTGAACGCTCAGGATTCTGGTGCATTGCCGACGCATCGCTGCCGCGATGTCGAAACTCTATTTTCCTACTTTCAACTTACTTTACGCTTCATTTAGTGATAATTTATGTGATTTTAATTTACCAAAATATACTTCGTTCAATTACGATTCTTCTGGCTTTTACAGATCTTAATTTGATCAATTAAATCATCTGTAATCGCTTACGTAAGAATCGTCGGGCGGAACTCTGTTTCTGCCCGATTCGCGTTCATCAGGCGCTGACGTCATCCTATCGCCTGCACCCTTATTTTCTTTTTTTCGTGAATTTTAAATATATTTCCTTTTCATTTCTTAGTATAAAATTTATAGAAAATAGTATTCTTTGAGGAAAATTCTGAATAATTACTAGATATTATATTACATCCCTGTGATCGACCTGAAAAATTACCGCTATTTTTTGAAAGTTTTATTAAATTATAATTGATATATTTTTTTAGAAATACTTCTACATATCTGAAAAATCATATTTTCTAGTTTTATAAATTTTAGATTTGCGTCATTTAATATACGACTAAGTCACGTCAGTAGGGTTTCTTTGTCCCAAATGGCCAGTGACCGATGCTGGTCTCTCTATGGGCCCAGTCCAATGAAGATTCCATAAGGGTAGTGGACTTGCTTGCTCAACTAAGGGATATCCCCAACTGACATCGGATGGTGTTCATGATTTGCACAAGTGTTCTCAACTGATGTGATACTGAGCCCAGCTGCTGACACATGTCAACCTGTTCCACTTATAACACTTGAAACTACTCTACATTTGTGGCTTGATTGGAGCGGGTGAGTTGCCGGAATTCCTCCAGCTCTTTCTTAAGAGAATCCAGCTTGGGATTAGTGGGTTTAGGCCCCATGATGCTCTCATACCAACTGATGGATAGCCGCTGGTCCAAATGGCATCTATCCTCTCACGGACTTTATGAGTGAAGTTGGATCCTTCACAACCTGCCAAATCACTCTATCAAGAGGAGAGGTTATGCGCATGGGAGGAAAGATGGAGGGAAGGAAAGCAGAAAAAAGCAAGGAAGGAAGAGATTATAGTGGACTAACTCGGAATGGGAAACAACACAACCAAGACCCCCTGGTCTTGGGGTCGCCGATACGAGATGGCAATCTCCAGCTCCAAAAGAAGTTTCTTACAACTATTTTTCCCTCTCCCAAGAGTCATCTAATTTATAGCCTTCATAGTTCCTTGACACCTTCTTTCCTTGATGGGACTCGGCACATGACAAAATTTGTCAATGCCGGATCTAATCCTTTGTGCAGGTTCGGCACCAGATTATTCCACTGCCCTCACCTCCTGCCTTGCAGGATCTACTGTATTGTTGCCCCTGATGATGTCGGGTTCCTGTGTCTTGTCGCCTTGCGCTTCGCTCTAGCTGCCAGGCTGTAGTACTAGAATGAGCTGGTTCCTTTGAGACCTCATTCTTCTTGGCTTAGTTCTTGCTGCCAGGGCCTCAATACTGACCCAGAGGTATTTTTTCAAGATACCCATTTTGGCATTACATAATGGCGAGAAAAAGTCGAAGCACAAGAATTAAAAAAACCTTCAATGTGTGAGGAAAACTCATATCGTATTCCAACTTGAAGTTCTACCGTTTCACTAATAATCAATGAGATCACTAGGACTTTCAACCTCTAATAAGCTAGAGAGGAAGCCAGCATCAATCAGATAATAATTACTCTGTGGTCAGCATCGGTCATCATCTCCAAATCTGGAGCGCGCTGCAAGTGCAAGTCTAAATCGGATTTGAGGTCGACGTAAATATGTCGCAATTTCGAGGTACTCTTACACGAGTTTCTCTGAAAACAAGGTTCAGATAGATAACGGAGAACCGAAGAGAGATGGGAAAAGAACATTCGCTGCTGCTGATGCTGTTCCTCCGAAAGGGAATCTCTTCTCTATTGACTTACCTGAGGATTTCCTCGCCCTAAATTTTCTTCTTCCGTTCCTCATCCTTTATCCTAAGGGGGTACCGGGGTTTGCGCCTGCTATCAGTCTGACGCACTAAGGAGACTAACACTATCTCACGAAACATCGTCGTCGAAGAGGAATTCTCTTTTCCCATAGATTCGTCTGCACGGTGGACTCGACGTGGAGATGCCAATTCTAAGATTCCCCGCCTCTCGTGGTGGTCGTCTCCTTCACTCACCATCCATGATGGAAGAAAGAGAACCTTCCGTCTTTCTCTGCTCTTCATCCTCGTCGCCGATTGCGCCTGCGTTCCTCCCGTCTGTGTCTCTTCTTTCTCCAGAGAACTCCTCGGCAGAAGGCCGGAGGATCCCGTCATGGGGGCGTCGGAGATGACTGTGAGGGTCCTCAACATCTCCTCGAAGGTGACTCTGCAAGAACTCACCTCCTTTTTCTCCTTCTGTGGCACCGTCGACGATATCAAGCTCACTAGGTAGCAGCCCAGCTCTCTCTCTCTCTCTCTCTCTCTCTATCTATCTATCTATCTATCTATCTATCTATCTATCTATCTATCTATCTATCTATCTATCTATCTATCTATCTAACTATATATTATTCTCTGTATGTATATGTATATCTGTCTCTCTATGTTTCTCTCTCTAGCGCTGATGAGAGGAACCGGACTCACACCGCTGTGGTCAGCTTCAGACAGCCATACGCCTTCCAGACTGCTCTCCTCCTTGACGTAAGCAGGAAGACATGGAAGCGAGGAGCAACTTCCTCTTCGCATTCAACCGTTACTTCGTTGGTCTGATCTTCTGCTCGTGTTTGATAACCAAGGAATCTTCTCCTTGAAGGGTGCGCTTTTAGCGGATTGCCATGTTCGCGTACTCCCCGTCGAGAACTCCGGAGAAACGGTATCCTCTCTCTCTCTCTCTCTCTCTCTCTCTCTCTCTCTCTCTCGCTCCTCTCTCTCTCCTCTCTCTCTATCTATCTATCTATCTATCTATCTATCTATCTATCTATCTATCTCTATCTATCTCTCTCGCTATACATGATTCGACGGGTATGGAAAAAGGGCTACCGTCGGGTGCCGATCAACGGCGGGGAGATGGGGGAAAAGCAGAGGATGAGGCAGGGCGGAAGGGAGCTCCTCCGTCAGGCGAAGACGGCCGCCACGACGGCGGAGCAGGCGGTGGGCCGGGTGGGAACGACGATCGCCCAGAGCAACTGCTTCACCAAGAGCGCCATCTGGCTCTCCGGCGTGCTCGACCGGGCTTCCAAGTCCGCCGCCGAGCTCGGCTCCCAGTCGGGTGGACATGAAACCAGCCTCAGAAAGGCGAAGTGACCCCCACGTAACATAGTGCATCGTTCTTCAAAAGCGTGTCAATAAGCAGATCGTGGGCATCTGAAATATTGGCACGTTCCCATCTCGCCGTCCCACTCTCATCCTAAATAAGGTGGTTGATGCATCCACCTCAACTGTGAGTTAAGGGGGCAGGTTCATATCTACCTTGCTTCTTACAGTAAATAGTAAGGGACTACTCTAAAGCTACTTGTTCATGTATAAGTTGTTATTTGCAAAGTAAATACTGCAAATGCTGCCTAAGAAAACTCCTAGATTTCCTTATAATGAAGCTTTCAGCCTATCTAGCTCACGAACATTTGGTGATGACCTTCAAGGCCTCATCATTATAAGATTGAGTCCACTCTAACTGCAACTAAGATGAGATTATTCTTAATATAGCTCTTCACGTGTAACTTGTATTTTTAAAATTTTCATATTGGTAGAACAAAATAATTTAAGTGCATATTTAAGAGTGATCATCAATCATGGTGTGGTATTGAAGTATAAGATCTTCCCAATAAAATAATTAACAATCATTGCCTTATCTTGATAATCAAGAATTTTCTTGTCCTATTTATAGTAATGATGCAAGATTGTTCCTAACACACTTCTTGACATCCAAGTTGATTTCATGAGTTTTGTCAATAAACAACATGAGATTTAGCACTGGCCTAAGAACAATTATTGATTCTAAAAGCATGTTAAAAAATTTAGATGATCTGATTCAAAAGTAATTAACAATCAATGTGGTGGTAGAGTTATATTGATTATCACTCCACGTGTAAATTGACTTTTAATTTTTTCATACCTACTATGCTCTTTAAGGGGACTAGGTAAGATACCAAGAGGGGTGGATTGGTTTTAAAAACTATTTTCCTATATTTTTTATATTTTTGGCTTGTCATTCTTAATTATGTACTAATTCAACACATTGTAGGTTGGATTGGCACCTACTGAGTTATAGTAACTCACTAAGTTCAAGCTGATTTGCTGACTTGAGATGATTGACACACTAGATTGACACAGTAAATATGAAATTAAAATAAGAGCTCATAGGTTATGCCTTCATTGGCCTAGGTTCACATACTAAGAGTTCATACACTTGGGTTTTATTATTCCCACTCACCTGGAGAACTATAGTTGATATTTGTGGGATCAACAAATTACTTTACATAATATATTTAAGGGATCTATCTCTTCATGCTACATGTTAAGGCACTAGCTTGCCTTTCTTTCCTTGTTAACAACACTCTTCAAGGTGTCTTAACATCAAAATAATATTAAAAAAAAAACCTATCCTAATGTCGAGTATACAAGTTCCTTGATTTTGTGAGTAACTAAGTTCCTAACAAAGTTTTGACAAGGTTTCTCTTGTAATAGAACTTTGAAAAGATACATTAGAGAGTGTTTTATGATTTGTTCTATCATTAAAGCACTATTATAAAAGGTCTCAATTGGTCAAAGATTGCTTAGGTCAACTTACAAAGGAGTTTGCATGCTCAGGTCAATAGTTTCACAAGCTTTTAACTAGGTAGCTCTATAGACATGTTAGTGTGAGTCTGATTCTTCTTTAGCCTCTTGATGCACAATGAATGATGTGTTGCTCTTTTATAGATCTTCTAGCATGTGCTATGTTTTCTGCCATGTTTGATGTGTTAGAGATTTTGGAAAAAAAAAATTTGTCTCTTGAGATTTGGCTTGACTTTATCTAGGAATACATATTTTCTCTTGCCTTTACTTCAGCTAGTAAACACATTTCTTTTAGGTATTTTTGCCATGTGGGCACATGATCTAACATACTATTTTTCACCTCGCTTATTTTTCTAAAATATTTTTATTTTTTTCTAATTTCAATTTTCTTCCTATGCATGTCTTTTTTATGATAATATTTTTCTCTAATACAGCAACAAATGAACAGCTCTAATAATTTAGATCTTCGTCTATGAATTAGTACAATAATGGCATATTTATGGACAATTTTTTTATCTTTTATGACATTGTCCACATCAAAAATTTTAAACCAACAACCTATGATATTAATAAGTCTGCCAATAGCTTAAAACAATGTGATGATTTTGTTACCATGATCTAGTTCTGAGACAACCTATTTCAAAAATAGTTTGGCAATCATTGAAACAAGGTCTTACTAATTTGCTTATCATCAGTTCACTAGGAGGATACCCTTCATTTGAAGTTTTTTCCTAGAAGTTTAAAGGATTGTTTACTATGACAATAGTCATGTTAACTTCAAACATTGATCAAGTTTTGATAATGAAAACAGCATAAATAGGGTGTATATAATGATGTTATGTTAATTTCTAACATTATACAAAAAAAGTACGAATAATCATTGGAGTAGCCTCATGTTTACAATAAAAAAAAATATATAGCAATAATGTGATATTATCTTCAAAATCGTCCTCTCTCTATCTTACTCTCTAGTTTTTTATGAAATTCTTGATTTACACAAAGTAATATACCATATGTTATGAAAACAAGTAGCAAAATTAAAAAAAGAAGTAAGTATATATATAATGAAGATGTCCTGTAAAATGATAATTATTTTCCAAGATTAAATAACAGAAATTTTCTTTTCATAATGAGTGACAATAAAAAATAGAGACTTTAGCTTTCAAAACAGGGATTTCCTTCACGCGGATTAGGAGATGGCAGTTTCGATCCGACTCCGGTTACTGGCCCCTCGAGCCCTCACTGCCTGCTTGTCGGAGCCCAGTGGCAGAAGCCCTAACTAATCTCGCTCCTCCGCCGTCCTCGCCGTCGCCGCCGCCATGGGAAGCCGCCTGGGAAGGAGGGTGATCCACTTTGCTAACCTACCCATCAAGCTCCTGATGCCCGCGGACACGTCGCCGGCCGCCCTCGGGAGCATCCGCGAGATCGCCATCAAGACCCTGCCGTCGGCGTCCAAGGTGGAGATCCGCCGTGTGCTGGAGTCCCTCTACGGCTTCGAGGTAGCGGAGGTCCGCACCCTGAACATGGAGGGCAAGAAGCGGAAGCGTGGCGGGATCCTCATCGCCAAGCCGGACTACAAGAAGGCCTTCGTCACCCTCCGCACGCCGCTCTCCCTCTCCCCCGATCTTTTCCCCATCCGCCACGTCGAGGAGGAGAGGGTCCGCACCAAGCAGCAGGCCCAGCGGCAGAGCATCGTCGGCGACGACGGGGCCGGCGGCGACGGGGCCCCGAGGCACTGGCTCGACGGCGAAGCACCGACGCGGGGCGGGCATCGCGGGCGGCAGCCCGACGGGCGGCGCGCGCCGGGGGAGAAGAAGGAGAGGAAGCCGCTGGCTGGTAAGGGCGCCCGCGCCGGCAAGGTGGGCCTCGCCGTAGCCACCGAGGAAGGCACCCGCTTCCCTTGGAGCAGCATGCGTTCGTGGAGGAAGTAGCTTGACACGCCTGAGCTCTGTTTGTTGAAATGCTCCAAAGAGGCATCGATGAAACGTGGAAGCAGGCTTTAGGACCTTTTCCTGTTTTCTGTCTAATAAAGGACAGTATGCTCATCCGTCTTCCTTCACGATATTTCGTGGGAGATTTCCTCCTCGCCCTGCTGCTGCTGCTGCTGCAGCTGATTTCCATGCGGCGCAGAAATAGCGGCTTCGCCGCTAAAATCTCCCTCCCTCGGCGATCATGATATTTATTTTTCTTTGACCAGTAGGTCTATGGGTCGACTAGCATGATATTGATTCTTGCTATCCCCACAGGGAGCTTCCGTAAATCATTTGTCCGTAGGTTCCCCTGCAGAACGAGATTGGGCGCTGGTGCGTTCTTCTTCTGAGAATATGATTGTGGCCGGAGGGAGACCCCCCGCCGAGGCTGACATCCGCTTCGCTTCCCCCGGCCGGCGGTGCCTACATTTCGAGATATTAGCCCGAAAGCCTATACTGCGGATCAGTTGATTTCCCTATTGAGGCAAGCGATGCTTATCCTTCTTTTCCTACCGGTCTCTCCCCTCTTCTTTCTTCCGTCTATACTGCGGATCGTTTTCTCCATTCTACAGCCTGACCACCTAAGACTCAAATCAGAATTGTTTTATTTCCCGGAAATATTCGACTTTCAGGGGCTGGGGAAACTCGATCGATCGCAGTTTCGGAAATGATCGTAGATTGCATTTGTAAGAAATCGTACAGCCAATGTGGTCTGAATTCGGAAACATCACCGACCCGACGTAAAAGAACAGGTTTATATTCTCTCAAAATTTCTCATCACAACACCATCATCGTGTGTTCTTCACTCGAGCAACAACACCATGCGGGGGGCAATGATGGGGAAGAGACAATGCACCACCACGGGAGCAAAACATAAAAATACGACATGCAGCATGAGGGAGGGGACTTCCAATCTTTTCTAACGTTTCCCGGCGATCGCATCGCCGTCGAGAGATCGAGGGATCGAGAAAAGAGAGAGAGAGAGAGAGAGAGAGAGGGAAGGAAGGCTCTAGGTGGCACGCCACCGTGCGGGGGTGGTGGTGGTTGGGTCTAGGCGTCGCGATCGCGTCGGCACTCAGGGGACATGGCGGGGTAGCGGGAGCGGTCGGAGCAGTAGTTGTAGATGGTGTACTGGCGGCGGACCCAGGCGAGGCGGCGGTACTGGAGGCCGTCGAGGTCCTGGAAGTCGCGTTGGTCCCACCAGCGCTTGCCCTGGGTGGCGCAGAAGGCGGCGGCGGCGGAGGCCTCGCAACCGTCGACGTGGAAGCTACGGTAGGAGGCGACGAAGGGGGCCTTGCTCCAGTCGGTCTTCTCGAGGCCGCCGCGGGTGGCCCAGTCGTCGGCATTCCACAGGCTAGAATAAATCTTCATCGGCTGGTTGAACGGGAACCGCACCCCCAGGTCCCGGCTGTTCTTGAACACCCTGATAGGCACGTCGTCCACGAAGAACCTGCCGCCACCAACCTCCGCTCTCGTCACTTCACTTCCACACGCACAGCAGGTATAGTATGGGAGAAGAGAATGCAAGAGAGAAAGGAAGAGAGATGGAGAGGAAAAAGTCCCTCAGAGGATGGGGGAGGGAGGGAGACGTACACAATCTGGTACATGTTCCAGAGGACGGAGTAGGAGTGGTAGTCCTTGGTGGGGTCGAACCAGAGGTAGATCCTCTGCTCCCTGTCCCCCTTCCCCCCGGTGAAGACGTTCGTCTGCACGATGTAGGGCTGCCCGCTCCGGTTCCCCAGGAACTCGAAATCGATCTCGTCGTGCTCCGAGTTCTGCGAAGAGAGCTGCACACAAGAAGAAGATGAAGAAGATGATGAAGAAGAAGACGATGAAAAAGAGGGGGAAGAAACCAGGTAGAGAGAGTGAGGAGAGAGGCACTAGTGAGAGGAGCGGATCTGAGCATGTAGGGGTTTACATAGAATGCCGTCACGGTTCCGGCAGAATCGCCGGGGACGAGCTTGATCTGCATACTGAAGTGGCCGAAAAGGTAAGAACCTTTGGATTGGAAACCGGTGCCTGCAGAAACGCAGTTTCCATGGAGAATGAAGATCGTAACAGGGATCAGAGAGCTCTCTCTCTCTGTATATATTTATATATATCTACCTATCAATCTATCTATCTGCAGTGAGGGTTACTCACTGTACCTGAGTATTTGTCGAGGGAAAGCTGCACCTCCATTCCGCCATTGATGTACTTGATGTGGTCTCCGGCCCAAGTGGGTACGTAGTTCGTCTGGAACGGGACATCCAACGGCCGCCTGGGCGGGGATGCCATGGCCATGGAGGCCAGGCCCAGGAGACACAAGCAGAGCGCCGGGGAGAGAGAACCCATTGTTGCAGAAACACACAAACACACTAAGGGAGAGAGTGAGGTTGGAGGTACCGAGCTCTTCAAGTAGGGATAAGAAGGGCGGGGGAAGGAAGAGGATGGAGTCTGGATGATGACCGTTCGGGGATTCGGGGATTATGCTTTGGGACTTGAATCATCGCCAACAAATCACATGTGAGAGAGAGGGAGGGAAAGAAGGAGAGACGAGAGGGAAAAATCCAGCCTGCGCAGTCAGTCCCTCACTGGTGGTCACAGTCAAAGTGACCGACCCACGTGATGGCAACCCATGCTACAGAGATAAATCGAGAGCGAGAGAGAGAGGGTCTGCGTTGAAGAGAAACAAGAGAGCCCGTGTTCAAAGGACTATTTTTAGAGAGAGAGAGAGGAGGATTTGGTGCCCCCTTAGGGAGATGGATCGACAGAGACCCATGTTACTGAGAGCGAGAATGATTGAGAGAGGACCCATGTTACTTGCACCATCTTAGAGAGACAGAGAGAGAGAGTGAGACGCATTATAGAGAGAATTTTAGAGAGAGGCCCGCATGAGATGGAGACCGTTCTAGAGAGAGAGGGAATAATGGGAGAGAGAAGAGATGTGGCATGGAGGTTCTAGAGTGGTCCATGGTGATAAAAGAGATGCCTTTTTCTTTGCGAAAAGCTGTATGGCGTATTTCCTTCGCGATAAGGCGGCATTAAGGACCGTCTCCCTGCTCTGAACCCTGTCTGGCGGTGGCCCACCTATTAATTTACGCCATAAACCCTATCATGTAGACGGCAAAGCCGCAGGGCAGGCAGGGCCGGTGGAAGGGAGCCGCCTGTAACGTGACTGGCGAGTCCTGTGACGCGCCGACCGGCCCCCTCGCCTGAATCGGACGGCTCCCAGACCTTGAAGAAGCGCGCGAGCCAGATCCCTGCGGCTCCCCCGCGTGTGCGAGGCCAGGGGATGTCGGCTGCCGTGGAGATCCGACGGAACATAGGGAGAGGGAGAGGGAGAGGGAGAGGGAGAGAGAGGGAGGAGCCGACAGCGGTGGTATAAAATCGTCGTTTTGTGGGGATGATATGGGGCCTTCCTCTCTCACATGGATACGAATGAACAAGCGCGAGATGTGTCCAAATTCCATCCTACCCTACCCTCTCCGCGGAATCTGCTTCACCTAATCCCCCCCCTTCTTTCTCTTTCGTCTCTCTCTCTCTCTACCTCTCCCCTCCCTCTCTCTCTCTACCTCTCCCCTCCCTCTCTCTCTCTACCTCTCCCCTCCCTCTCTCTCTCTGCCTCTCCCCTCCCACTCTCTCTAACTCGATCTACTTACGCATGCAGGTTCATCTCTCTCTATAAATGCATGCATATCATCATAGTAGGAAAATGCTCCTTGGCAGTGTGCCGCAGCGAGGCTTCTAAAGTGAAGAGTTGGAATTTTTTCCCTGTCCCAGTCTTCTCATCCCCCTAAACCCTCTCTCTCCCACCTCTCTCTGTCTCTCTCTGTCTCTCTCTCTCTCTCTCTCTCTCTCTCTCTCTCTCTCTCTCTCTCTCTCTCTCTCTCTCTCTCTCTCTCTCTCTCTCTCTCTCGCTATCTATCTATCTATCTATCTATCTATCTATCTATCTATGTCCCTTCAACAGGAAAACTCGTTTATAAAAGGATGCGTCCGGCTTTCTTCACTTACAGAAAGACGTAGAGTCTCTTCGTAAAGATTATAGCCTCTGAATTATTGTAAAGGTTTGACCGTTTCTTAGTCAAATCCTCCCTCGTTATGCATGCAGACCCTGGAATGATGAATGGGTCTCTCGGCCCGGGCTTCATGGCGACGCGAGGGACCGTTGGCTGGCTACTGCGGATGAGAATTAAGGTCTGGCATTTGGCCAACCATAAGGATTGAAGAGAGAGAGAGAGAGAGAGAGAGAGAGAGAGAAATGGTCTTTCTATATAAATCACAGGACAATCGGGTGATCACCAGGAACTGAATCAGAGACCTCGGATGCCGACCAACATCAGCATGCCCGAGGAGTTAATGTCGAACCTTCGAACGATGGGCTGATCTCCAAGAAGGGCTGCCGATCCGTGTTGAATTTTCCGGCAAAATTGAATCAGAGCCCGCTGATCCTGATCAAGATCGGTAAATTTGAGAAGTTCATGGGAGGACGCCGGACAAGGTCAACCCCACGGCAGGAGCCGAAGTCAATGGGAAATCTTCCCTCGTACGAGCTTCATCTTCAAAAATGACGCTGGAGAAATAAATGAGAAGAAGAATAGAACCTCGATCAGCAGCAAATGCCCCCACAGATGTTCGTGAACCCTCCTTCCGACCAAGCATTTTGATGCCCTCTAGAATAGCCAGTGCTTCTTCTTGGGCTTGTACACAATCGGGAGATCTGCGGAGGGGCACGCGAGAACTACTATCAACGGAAGGTGGGGGAGTCAACGCTGCCGTGTGGGTGCATTATCTCTCTCTCTGACCGTAAAAAACAGTATTGAGAAAGCGGTAAAAAGCACGACGGAATACTGACCTTTAAACTCGTATATTGAGTTGTAGTGCACTTCCGACCAGAAGCTCAACCAAAGCTCTGCGATGGATGAGATAAATTCTATTAATACCAAAAATGGGCATTCGGAATCCACCTTGATCTGGAGTTCCATCAATATTTGACGATTAGCCGTGGACTTTAAACGTTGACCTCCTCTGGCTGCTAGATTTCTGGATGGATTGTTTCCGGATCTTATGCCCTGGCTTTGGTCTTACCTCGCTGGGGGGTCTGTTGCTGCGGAACGATTTCAACAAAGCAGGTGTCCCGGAATGAAGTTAGAAGGCATATTTTTGCGCCGAACTGCACATGGAATAAAAATAATAATTCAATACATAGGTTCCAAAAAATGTGAATAAAAAATGAGCAATAATCCGAAGTCTGAAAATTAATGTCCTAAATTTTCTGCAAGGAAAATTGATAAATAATATGGACAGTGAAGTGGGAGCCATTGGGTTGACCAATTTTCGGTCAATTTTCCAGTACCAATCACAGACATAGGCCAGAGGACTCTCTCATTCATCGACGAGCGCGGGATTTCAAGACAATCACCAAAAGAAATCCGAAGTCCGACTTTAGGGAGACCATGAGAAAAAAAAAGCTCAAAAGAGTTCAGAGTGCCTACTCCTTCCTCTCTTTGACTTCAGAATGAGACAGTTTAAAAAGACCCAGGATGTAGTATATTCATAGGTGGCCGATTCTTTGGTGACAACTCGAGTGATGGAAATCGTCTGAACAGTTGTTCGCGTGTCTTTAATTAGCCAGGAGGATTATTGGTCCCGAAGAGTTATGGTGATAATAAAAAAAAATCAATGAATTATTTCTACAGTGTGACTTTGATTATTGTGAAGCTATGTCCCGCCGTGCATTGAGAAATATTCTCAACAAAAACTAATAATCGTATAGACATCTGATAAAGAAACGTCCTCAATGCCCCAAAATTAGCACATTGATTGCTGAAGGATAGCTATGATATCCAAGCATGCTTTAGTTCCCGGATTAGAAACACGAGAGACCAAGATTCGAGGTAGGACATTTCAAATGGTCATGCTGGTGGTCCACAAAACACGGTAAGAAATCATCTGACTTTCCTTCCGCTCATTAGCACAGAGACTATATAAGAAAGTCCGGCGTAAGGGAACCATATACTTCAAGCAGGGAGAGACAAGCTATTCACACATAATGGATAAGTATGAACCTTGTCAGCTGCCGCTTGGAGGGTAACATGGTCGCCCCATTCACCAGATCTGCACCAGTTTCCAGATGGGTTCAGGCATATGCATCATCTCAAATTTTAAAAAATGAAAAAATCTGAACGAGAAGATCAAGTTTATGCTGAAACAGAGAATCGAAGCATCCTACTTAGCCATCTTCTTGTAATATTTCTTGTATTTCATGGGAACATAGCCTTCGTACAACGATCGGCATTCTTTGAGCTGGATTGTTCATAAAAATATCATCAGTCCCAGGAAAACTGAAAACAAACGTATTCTTAGAGCAGGACAGTTGTTTAGGGGAAAAAAATCATTCAGATAAGAAAGGTAGTCTTCCTGCTCTCGTAAATATTCAGGGAGCACCGTGAACAATGAGTATAGGTGAAACAGGGCATAATATACTGATATATGTCAACAATAATTGAAAGGCATATGGTCCCGTTGCCATCTGTTCTACAGTTAAATTGAATGCTAGAACTCTCATGCTCAACCAAAAATGATCAATTAAAGCTCGTCGATGATTCAGAAGCCCTTTGGACCTACCAACTCGTACCAAAAATTCAAAACCGTAGGCTGATTCTTTGCACAGGATGTGCCAAACAACACCAAAACTGAGGAAAAACAGCATAATATAGAGGCTAGGGGGTCCCCTTGGAAGGCCTCAACCATATTCGGCCAATCACCTCAAGGCACGGGGCTATCTAGGAAGAACTGATCCAGGCGCCACAAAAGAAGAACGAAGGCTCTAGGTTAGTGACAGGCATCTACATACAATGAGGGAGCCGAACAAGTGAAATGCTTCCAGAATGTCACATGAAAACATAAAAATTAACGGTTTATCCAGAGCACCGATACACCTATTATACCATTATTATTAGCTTTTAAGACAGGTATTTCCATCAATCCACATGAATATAAACCAAGTTCATTCGTCTCTAAAAATGACTTCGTGAGTTTACACATTACATCAATACATCCTCATTTCAGTCTTCCTATTTAGCTTATACAAGCTTGAAAAAAATTAAGCAATCATGTGTATGAAAACCGCCCCGAAAGAAGGGAATCTACAGATTATTATGTCTAAAAATTTTCATAGTCGTAGTTTTCCAATAAGTACATCACCATGCATTTTTTAACGATGATTTTCTGATGACAAGGCAAGACGTTTCTCCTTCATGGATTATGAAAAAAAATTCGATTCAGCATGAAAACACTACTTGTCAAGAAACTGAAGAATATCTCAGATACCTGCTTCACAATTTCCTTGCGCACGTGCTTATGATATTCTGGGGATTTGTACATTTGATCTGAAAGGGCACGAAACTGCAATAAAATTCAAGGATTAAAGTTATTTCTTCACAGAATATTAAGAATGATTATGTATTACACATAACAGACCTTACATACCTGACAATTCCCATCACCAGAAACTTTTACTTCGTATAAGCCATAAACATTTAACCTAAAGAGTAGCACCACGAAAGATGAACACAAAATTAGTCAACTAAAACACACAAAAAAAATTAAGAAAAAATAGTATTTATAAGGCCCAAGAGTTCATGAAATAATCACCGACATCCAACAAATGCATATTGTCGACTTGATATTGTTCCAGTGTAAATGAATAGTTTTAATTCCATAAAATGAACGACTTTATGTAGCTAAAAATAGTTGACCCGGACATTATGCCTCTCTTTTTTAAAACTGAAAAAAAAAGACGGGTCAAAAACTAAGAAAAAATAACTTAGAAGGATTTTTCCAGGAAAAAGATAATTTCAGTTCAACTCGGTTATATCTCACATTCCTACCAAGTTACTAGATATAAATATTTGGAGCCTTGAAGAAAAGACCAAGAAGTTAGTTTTAATATTTTACGTCAAGCTCACCACTATAAATTAGTTTTAGTCTGATATGATTGATTTGTATGATTTCCAAGCATGTAAGCATGTAAGCTTGCCATTTATATACATTACGTATATAATGGCCAAATTCAGACAAAGAAATGTATGCATGGCGGCCGTCATAATATACGTAAAATCATTAAAAAACAACGGAAACTACGAAGATGAAAGAGTTACAAGAAACAACGTTAAAGCTACGTAAGTGACAAACCTTTCAATCAGACGATCATACTCTAGGCTGACATCACTTAAATTTGGAAAATATGTGTTGATCCGAGGAACATGCTGTTATAGAAACAATAGAAACTTAAAAACGTTGAAAGATTATACGCGTCTGATTAAATTGCCCATTTGGAAAATAGATAGATGCTTATAGGGGGCTTCTTACTATATAACATTAAATGGCTCATGTCAACGGAAGGAAAGAAGACATAAAAAATATATAAAAATAAAATTCTGGGAAACGTCCAATTTGCCAAAATGATAAAATGTGACACACGGGAATACATGACTGAAATTTAAACCCAGAGTGGGAACAGATAACTTATTTTTCAGTTATTCCTGCTTCTATTGTCACATCCTCCGACAATTTCTGTAGAAAACTTTGGTTCCCATTTAAGACTGATGCCTTAATATGCTGAAAATTTCCAGTCATGTGACACACGGGAACACAAGACTGAAGTATTAAGCTTTCTACAGAAATTGTAGAATGATGTGACAATAAAAGCCGGAATAACTGAAAAACAAGTTATAATGGTAAACACAGATCCACAGAATTTCATTCCAATGGAAAAAGTGAAAATAATATGCTTAGATTATCTAAAATGCAATTAAAGGAAGAAAATGTTTCACGAATACCAATAGAATAGGCTATCCACACAATGTGCTGAACGTAAAACTTTACAAATTTTATTAAATTTTATCTAGGAACAGAACGCCGAATATGATTGTGAACCATAGTGGTTAAATTTTATTAGACATAGTGTATTGCTATAATAATGATATGTTTTCCTTCAGAGGCCAAATAAGGATATTTATTTGGGTTAGTTTACAATCTTTTGTTCAATGATATCAAAGAATTGGTAAATTATTCACGAGACAAATCTTTCAGTGCATAACCACTGGAGTGTATTAAATGATTATCTATCCTTGCTTCTATTCACCTAAATTTTCATCGAAAATTTTGCATTTCAGACGTCACCTAGGAAATTTATCAAAATCTGCCCAAAGCAATAAAACTTATCACGAAAGGCCAACTGTCTGCATCCTCTCTTTCTTGGTGTCATTTCAATCCTGTCACCGTGTGTCGGAAGAATTCTGTGGGAATTCGTATGGCATAAACTCAGCTGAAAGTATAAATTGGGAAGGACAGAGTAGACCTTGCCCAAAACTTCTTATCCTTAATAATTCCGAAAATTCTCTCTCTCTCTCGTGCTCTTATGTACGACGATAATTAATTTTCTAAATTATTATGCACCAAGGTACAAACCGCAAACTCTGACAACATCAATAAAGTAAGCACCAAAATAAATTTGAGAAATTGATGCATGAACCAAGACAACAGTATCTATTCATCTAACTTTTTCTGCTTTCAAAAGGAAAGCGATAACAGAATCAATAGACAAATTTAGAAATTAATGTGTTTCAGGCCTTCCAAGTTAAAAAATTTCATTATGACTGAACATATGAAGTAAACGAGCTTAGTAAATAATAAAGGATAGAAACATGTGCATGAAAAACTCTTATTCAAAATTCTACTATCTTCTGGTTGGGATATAAATCAAAAAGTATTGATGAGAAGTGACTTACTGGAATAGCTGACAAATTTGAAATGTGCCTACCAACTGTGCCATCCCCTCTAGTATATTCCTCTGACAGTGCAATAGCAATCATTCGGTCATCTTCGACATCATTTTTACCATCTGTATTAGTGGAACTCGAACAGCCATCTACATGTTGGGTATGCATCATAATATACACTACTACAGAGTAGCTTCAGGTTGCAGCTGCAAACAGAAATAATAGACGATATCAATCAGTGCATATAAAGTATAAAAGAATAACCAGCTTTTATGGACGTGTATAGATATATATAAACGCCTTGTGGGTGAATGTACTCTTCCATATCTGCTTGGAGAAGTAATTTTTCGTTAAAGATCTCCATATTTGAATGATCTCTAGAAGCCCAAAAAAACACATTAACTTAAGAAAGTTCGAGATGGTTGGTAACATTCAATATGAGGCGTCCTTCTACATGTACCTCATAAAAGTTATCACTATAGGTTATACAGAGAGGCGAAATTGGATAGCTAAGCATTTTCCCTCCAAAGCGGTAGCAACATTATGAGGCATTTGATGTGTGTTTTCATACAATCAGCTGCACATCGTGAGATTTGGAATTTCTGGAGCCTCACAAAGAATAGGATAAAAGAAAAAATTCACAAGAATTTCAATGACACCGCCGCATTATTTTCCTTACGTTAATCTTTGCCTTTTGATTCAGGTTTTCCCCTGTGTAGGAGCGAGCGTGAGTTAAGAAAACTTTGCTTTCAACTCGTTGCGAAAAAAAAATCTTAAACGGTCCAGATGGAACATTCGAGAATGAAGTATACATTGAGCATTTATACAAGAGTAAAGATTCGAAAAATTAAGAATAATGACGAGCTAAAAAGAAAAAGCTCGCCTTCCAGAAGAACAAAGAGTAAAAACAGAATGTGTGAATGCGTGAATGCGTGAAGCTGGTGGAGAATATCACCAAGCTATAATCACTGATTTTTTTTATTAATACAATTCATCTTCTCATGGTCCCTCTCACGGTGACAACTATTTCACTTCTCTCACCTGCGAGTGATGTGAAAAAATCTCGACGATGGTTTTGTTCTGAACAAAAACGGAGCATTCCTTTATCAGGGGCTACTCCCGATTTTACTCCGCGTAACCAATCCTTAGACAACGTAAACTGAGTCCCAATTTTTCGAAGAGGTATAAACCTAAACTATAAGATCAACAAACCACGGCACGTTAACCGCGACAAGTTCAGACAACTCAATCGTACATGCCCCGAACAGAAGACGAACACTCCGCAAACCGGGCGTCCGTTGAAAATCATAATACAAAGCAAGTACACGATCCCCCCCCCTCCCCACACACACACACAAACACAATCTCCGAATGCAATAAGAAGAAAAAAATTGAACAAATTAGAAGGCAAGCATTTCGAGGGAAAAAATAGGATAAAGATCAAATACCTGATCGGTGTAGATGCCCGAATCCGCCTAGCCAGAGGCGAAGATCACTTAAATGAACGCAAGCCAAGAGATCAGATGAGACGGATGGGGAGCAGATTGAGCAGATTGAGAAAGACAGATCGATCGACAGACAGAGAGTAGAACACCGAAAGAGAGAGAGAGAGAGAGAGAGAGAGAGAGAGAGAGAGAGAGAGAGAGAGAGAGAGAGAGAGAGAGAGAGAGAAGGAAGGGGGGGGGACAAAGAGAAACCGCCGAGAGAAGACCACGACTGCTGCCGTCGAAATCCACCGAGCCGTCCTGCTGCTCTGGTTTTTCTTTACGACACGAAAAAAAACGAAAAATATCCGCGGGTTGGTGGCGACTTCACGCGACACGGTTTTAGCCTGTTCCAACCGTCGGCGTCGAATGTGAAGCAAGACACGGAACTCACACGTGGTCAGCATTTAGACGAACCACGTCATCATAGCGAAAGGACGACCAGATTGGACACTTCTGTCACGTTTGGAACACCATCATTAAAAGTCAACGACCGCATTAATAGGCTGGGCCGCCTCCAAGCTCCGCCTCCACAAGGCCCATATCTGCCACATGCCTGGGACCCGCAGGTTAACAAAATTCCCCATATTTTATAACATTTGGGCACCACATTTTCAGATTAATATAATTTTCTAATGTTGCTCGCGATTGGGAAGAATAACCTGTTATGCAATTAGAATAAAAATATGTTAATCTAAAGTCTGATGGCCTTAGAATAAACCTTTATTTTAACCATCCAAAGAGTAAGATATTGCGTAAAATGCCTGGATTTTACAGTTCCAAGCACGTATATTTAACAAGCTTTCTAAAATCTTGTCAAAAATTCTCAAATTTAATTAGATCGAGGCATTAATAATATTTATTTATCGTATTTTTATCGAAAACCCCAACTAAAAGCTTTTTGAAATTATTGATTTATTTTAAATATCTGAACCCGATATCCCTAGATGGACCGAACACTACGAAGGCCCGACCCACCCCAGCGGCACCCAAACTCAATAAGCCCAAGTGTGGAGGGGCAGCAAAAGTCAAAGAATATCAGGTCAACGGAGTCTGATCCAGTCTAGATTGGGATCGGACGGTCCTGATTGGCCAATCCGTAGAAAGATTGAGGCCCAATTCAAGCCCAACTTTCAGATCCTTTGTCGCCCGTAAACCAATCGGCCCAGATTCTCTCTCTCTCTCTCTCTCCCCCTCCCTGTGCAGTCACAAGTAGATTAGCTTCGTCTCAAGGCGACGATCAAGACGGAGGCAAGATGGAGGCGCATGTCTCAAGCCGACGATCAAAACCAATCGGATGATAATTCTATTTTTTTAGTTAATAATTTTAGTGGGTTAATACGGGCGACGGATAGTACGCCACGTTAACCTCACCTTGAACGACTCAAGTCTTACCTTATCCATGCAATGCGACAAGTCAGTCAGACATGTGGGGCTTGTTTCATCCGCCATGCACACGTGTGGGAGGAGATCGGACTGACATATCATACTTATCATACGCCGCGTGGCCTGGCGACGACCCCCCCGTTCCCTCTCTCTCTCTCTCTCTCTCTCTCTCTCTCTATCTGTCGGAATTTAGAAATACCACGTGAAACACCAACATGCAGTAAAGAAGAAAAGTCGTCCCCACCATGAACAAGTTTTATTTGGGAACCCTATATATTCTTAAAAAAAGTGATTATAGGAGAATGGCTTTGAAAGGCAATATAAAATGGTATCAAGCAACTTTCTTTAATAGTGATCACATTTTTGAAGTTAACGTATTTCTCCAAGTTACCTTTTTTTCCCCTCTTGGTCTCTAAAAGGTTATTATTATTTTATCTGAAATGTTTTTACCCAATAAGGATATACCCAATATATATATATATAAAACCTACGGCAGTAAAATAATACATAATATTTTTTTAATAATCTAGAGACACAAAATAATTCAAGAGATAATATTGACAGCAACGGCTTATTTCACAATTAGATGATTAATCCCACAAACAAATCAAAAAATTATGATATATACCAAGTAAGATTATTCAATCAATTAACATGAAGTTTGCAATTAATTTGCAACAAAAAGTAGAAGCGGGCAGAACTTTCAAAAGGATTTTGGGGAGTATTTAAGCATCCCCATTAAGCTGGGTTTAACGTCTTCAACTTTTGGAGTCTTGTTCAAGGAACGATGAGCATGCAGGCGGTAGGATTGGAGTGAAATCTTTCTCTAAGAGGACAATAAGAAGGTTGGATTGACCGGGCGTCTTCACTCAAAATGTCAACTTGGATTTCGATCTCCAGCCGCAGACTTTGAAAATCGGAATGGTGCTAGCAGCGCCTGGTAGAAAGAGATACAGATGAAAGTCAGGACTTTGATCAACGAGAGAGAGAAGAGAGTAAGTTCTGAAAGGCTTACTATCTCGGAATGCCGACGGGTTCGGAAATAGGGCGCATGGGACAAATCTAGAGAGAGAGAGAGAGGTTGAAAAGCGGGGTCTTGGGAATTCCCAGTCAAACTATCAAAGCCTCCGTGGCCCAAGAACCAAGTTCAACTCGTTCAACCCAGAAAGAGCAGTCCTCTTTCCGCCAGAGGCTTAAGAGGGAATAAAAAAAGACGGTAGAAGGAGAAAGGCTAACGTCGCCCGGGCCCCCCACGCCCCCGTCTCTCTCTCTCTCTTTCACCCGACTCATTTCTTTTAATTCTGACACTCCGACATCCAGCCGAACAGTCCTTCGGATACTAGCCTTGAACAACCCAATTAAAACGTACCCACCCTCTCTCTACTCCGTCTCCGTCTCTATCACGGATATTATATATAAACATTGGCGGCATATCAGTCCGCTCAAAGCGAAGGCTGCCCACAAGCCTTCTTTGTTTCTATTCTAGGGATATAAAACCAGAATCCAACCTTCAATCGCTTGCTCTCTCTCTCTCTCTCTATTCTCTCTCTCCCTGTGTCTGTAGCCTCTCTGTTCAGCTACTGGCCGATGGGAGACCCGCCTACATCCGTCCGCTTCCTCCTCTCCCTGTGACCGACCGTCCTCTTCTCTCCATCGTCGTCCCATCTCGTTCTCTCATGGGGATCAAGTTGCTCACCCTGCAAATGATCCCCTGGTGTTTCCCGGTGCTGGGCGGCGCCGCCGCCGCCTGGAGCCACCCGGAAGCCCAAGGTGAAGGCGGCGCCGCCGCCGCGCGGCCAGTGAAGCTGATCATGGCGGACGGGAGAGTGGAGGTGTTCGACCGTCCGATGAGCGCGGCGGAGCTGATGAAGGAGCACCCGAAGCACCTGATCTGCCGCTCTGACTCCTTCACCATCGGGCAGATGATCCCGGCCCTGCAGGAGGAGGAGCTGCTGAAGCCCGGCCAGGCCTATTTCCTCCTCCCCCTCCACTTCTTCCAGTCGGTGCTCTCCTTCGTCACCCTCGCCTCCTCCTTCGCCCTCCTGCACCGTCCTTTCGACGTCCTAAAGACCCCCTCCGGGAAGCTGCAGATCAGGGTCTCCGACGATTTCATCGGCAGAGAGAACGGGTCCGCGGAGAAGGGAGGAGGGCCGCCGGGAGGGAGGGTCTGCACAACGGCGGCGCTGGTGAAGGACTACCAGCAGCTGGTGGTCGGAAGCAGAGTGCGGCTGTGGAAACCGAAGCTGGAGACCATAAGGGAGTCGGAGAGGAGCAGGAGGAGGCTGGTGGCGGTGGGCGCCGCCGCCGCCGCCGCCCTCGGCGATCTCAGGCAACGGAGGAAGAAAGCCCACCGGGGGAATCCCCAGGACCAGCAGAAGAAACAGCCGCCGCTGCAGCAGCAGAAGAAGATACCGAAGCAGCATAATGTCTCCATTTCCGCCGTCTCCTCTCAGCTTCCGAGTTTAGACTCCTCACCGACAGAAGCAGCGAGATGAAGATGGCGGTCGCCTGTAATATGTAAATATTGAACGAGGAGGAGCGACCCCATGGTTGGGGGGGGGGGGGTGTTCTCCTCTATTGTGTTCAGATTAGTGATGGGTTTCCCGTCGAGAGCTCTATCCTTCTTCCTCCTCTCTGGGGGGCGACGATTCCCTGTAAAAGCTAGGGTTTTAAGCCTTGCACCTGAAATAATTAATCTCGCGAAACTGATACAGGAAACATTCATCTTCATGCGCCGACGATCCCCCTCTCCCCCTCCTTCTCACTATTTCTCTCTCTACCCTCTATGAGGCCAATATTTTAATGAGCATTCTTGAGCTCTACTCAAGCCCTTGGTGTAGCTTGACAGTGCCACGGAGAAATCTACAGGGGAGAGATCAGAAGAAGGGAAGGTAACAGTGGGAGGAAAGCGGAAGCGGGGAAGAGAGATAGAGAGGGAGAAAGAGAACGTAAGACAGAGATCCTTTGGTTTTCTCGGCTTTCTATCTTTTTGCCATCACCGGGGTATGTCTCTTCTGCCAAAGTTAGAGAGAGAGAGCTCATAGCACAGAAATGAGAGTGAGAGAGAGAGAGGCGCGTCTGTGACTGGCTCGCCGAGTGATTGAGTCAGAAAAGAGGCTGCCCTAGACGACAAGATACAGGTCAAAACTCGGGGCAGGCGCACGAGGGCGACACCCCTCGGCACGGGCCGTCCGTCCGCCGCGGAATCAGATCTCGACCGTCAGATTGAAAAGCGGGACGATTTCCGCACCCTCGGATCGGCCCGCAATCACGGGAACCAGAATCGCTACGAAGCTCGTGCGCATAAAGCCCTCCTTCAGAAGACCATCATCGTCATCGCTCTACTGTTACTTAAACTTTATGAGCAAAGAAGATTATGAGAATTATGATCTATATCGAATTGGAGATCCTACTGGTACGCAGTGCCCGTCGGAGGTCCGTACGCCTCCTAGCGAGCGGACTGCGGTTCAAAAATCTTCGTCGTGGCCCCCACCAATGGGGAAAAGGACACACTTCGTGTCACCGAAGGACTTATCTGTAATTTCCTGATGGAAAAAATATAATTTGATATTAGTTCTAAAAAAAGAAGATGTCACTCGCCAAGAACGTTACTCGTGAAGAATATTACATATATAACATCCAATAAATACCCAATTACCTGGGTGAACTTTTCTCTTTATTGATATCAAAAGTCATCGGTTACGCCTTTCAGATTTGGGAAACGGCACCATATCCTCCACGTTGGCGATGGTTCAAACGTTAGAAGTACCCAGCTTTTGGAAAATGACATACTTTGACTCTCACATCACCTTTTTTAAAAAAATTATTTTGGGTGGTCCACAATGCACCTGGTTCCGCCTTGCAGCCATGCTACTTGCTGTAGGAATGGATTTATCTCCAATGTCTGGTCATGCTTGCACCTTGCACCTTGCTGGGCAATTATTGTGACTTGACAAAGTATACAAGTTGTTGACTTTAGAGATGACCCAGATGGGTTCTAATCTTTTACCCTTTCGTGCAAGTGGAGTGGGCTACCTAGAGAGAGAGAGAGAGAAAGTAATTTATGATTTACGGGTCATGACGTACCAAACCTTTGACACAACTTAGATAGTGAGTTGCCTTTCTTCTTTAGGTTCGATGAGAAGGCCTGAATTTCGAAGAAAATTGGGTGTGGCATTAATCAATTTTTGGGCTTAAAGTTGTCTATATTTAATTATCTACAACTTTTAATTTTTTTTCCCATAACATCATTTGTCAATCTTCCCTAGTCATTATTACGAGTGAGTACCTGTTTCATTATCTATTCAATTATTATTACTAAAAATAAAAATAATTTAATCTTGTACTATTGGGGATTTATATTTCCCGTATTTTATTGAATACCCTAAATTTATGTGCTGGTTGCTAAAGGTTAAGACTTTAGTGCATAAAAATTAAAATTAAGACTTCAGGGGATGCTTGGAAGCGCTTTTTGAGCCTGATAGACCAAATCTCAGGGGAGATTTAATCAAGATACCTAATCATGCTTATTATTATTGGGTCTTGGGAAATCCAACTCTTTAGCAAGCCTGCAATGGACCCCAATCAGGCTTAATTCAGTCAGATGGTTTCTTAAAGCCCAATAATAAGCACCATTTAGGCTAAGCCCAATAAAAATCACCATCTATTAGTAGACTGTGTCATTTATCTTAATTTTTTAGAGGATCTAGAACTAATTTATGCTTATTTGAGAAAGCACGCAGGGTAGAAAGAAAGGGCTATTTAAAAAAAACTTTTAATAATATTTTTGCTATCTACCCTGATTTTCTTTGTACATTAAAGGGGAGATCGCCTGTATCAATGCTTATGGATTCAATGATTTTAAATTTCAAAATCTAACTAGGCCTCCGGTAGTGAGGTCCTGTGTTTTTCCACCTCTTCTTAAATTTTTTTGTATCTTTTTTTCCGACCTGTTTCGCCAATCGTCAGCTAGAAGAGATGAGGGATGATGTTGTACACTCTAGCTCTAGCTTACCTCACCTTCCACCTCTCAGGCCTCATCCATCGAAATTATCTATCCCTTGTGTCTTCAATTCCGTGTCAATTATTGAATAAAATATTGTGGGTTATTATGTCAAATAATTGAAGATATAGATTGTTGAGAAAATAGACTGTTAGTAACGAACATTCTTACATCAGGTTGAAGATAATTCCTTAACATGGGCGTGTGCCTTAGGCGGGAAGAGCCAGCTTAAACTATGGTTTTGCCAGGTACGAAGAGGGCAGCGGGGGAAGCTTGGTTCATATGGAGATAGCTTCGAGAAGGTGTGCCTCTTTGATTTACATGAAGATGGGTAACTGGGACAACAGGGAGGAAGAGGGGATGGGCACCTGAGGAGCAACGACGCAGAAAAATGGAGGCATACAGTTGAAAGTGAGCGTTTGGGCCAGGAAACTCAAAGCCGCTCTTCCCTTTTCCTCGGCTTCTGCTTCAAGATCCGGCCGGGTCAGGCTTCTAGGCTCATTCTGAACATGATTGGATGAATCCAGCGGAGAAATTGGGACGTACCAGGAGATGTTCTTCTGAGCTAGTCAGCCTGGAATCCGAGGAACTTGTTGATGTGGGTGGCGACGGGCCGGGCATCCCCAGGAGAGTACGGCACTAGGGCCTCAAGATCCATGGTTCTAAGAGCCTGACCCAGGGACTGGGGGCGGGAGCAGAACAGGTGCTTCCTCGCCGCCAGCTCATCTGCCAGCTCACTCTGGTGGTTGTCCATCAGGTCCTCGTTGACCACCACGACAAGCGGCTTCCCCAGACGCAAAGTCTCAAAGATGCTGCCTGATCCTACAAAACGGAGCACAATTTTTTCCATCAGAAGATGCTCGATGGAGAAGACGATCCATGCCCAATTAGGCCGGCGGTTTGGATGTAGTCGATTGGCTGATCATATCTAAGTGGGCGTAAAGCTTGTCCTGTTACGATGAGCCCCCAGTGAGACGATTCCAGTCTCAACACGTTTTGTTGACCTCAAAGATGTATAGATGGCGCCAGTAGAGATAGATGATGGGTGTAACAGGCCTACGGCAGAGTGGGGAGAAATGCTGATGGTTCTCTACCTGCGTGGCTGATCACGAGCTCTGCTGACAGGAGGTAGTCAGCGATGGTAGGTGAGAAGGTGAAGTAGTCCACAGCAACAAGCCCATCTTCCCCTGAAAACTGCAGACAGAAGTAGAAGGTGAGGTAACGCTCATCACTTTCTGTCCAATTTAAAGACAAACAGCCAATTCGCCAGCTTCTAATTACTTGGATAACGATTTTTTTATTTATTTCCATTGATGACCAATCCAAAAACAAATATAAACCGGTTTATAAACAGATAGCAGCATCGTATTCATAAAAAATAATCTTAATAAACTATGGAAAAGACTCGCATTAGTACCATTGAAAATAAGCTTCAGACAGTGTAAGGATACATAAAGTATTAAATAAGAATAATATACATCCTTTTAAATATTTCTTAAAGGGCAATGATTAAATATATTAAAATTTGAAGCACATGGCGATAGATGCCTGTTGATCACCAGTCAAAATTGTAATAAGAAAAATGAATAAAAGTGAAGTTAAATTTTTTTTCAGATTCCAAGGTATTCTTCTTTTGACCTTTGAGGGGATATAAGACCCGCGGCCCATCTGGATGAGCAGATCAGTGTAACCTCTCCTCCTGAGTTCCTCCCTCACTGCCTGTGTATCCATGGCGCGAACCAGAGCATCGAAGCTGGTAGTGCCTACTGTCACAAACACAATCCTTTTTAATCTCTTACCCTTTTGATCTTCTCCCATTTCCTTTTCTAGCATTTGCTACGATGAAGTGTTCTTGGTCAACTTTTACTACAACTGAACAATCCAAGTAAGAGACGTCATGAATCAGTAATTAAATTTCAATATTTTTGCTCAAGGGCATGCTACAATCTATAAAAGGAGAGAAACTAATAAGATTATATCAATGAGTCCAAAAAACCGTATATATATATCTATATATACATACATATCTCAGTTTGTGTTTTAAAGAAGTTGAAAGCGTTAAATTCTTCTGGAACAAGATTTAGTCAATGCCAACACTGTTATGACTCTTTCCAATCAAGGAACCGAGAACTTTAAAATGTTGCGGAAGTAGATTTCACTTAAACAAGGATGAGGGTTGGAGACTCTACAGTTTAATTATAAACATATTCATACAAATGGCATTAAATGCTAAATTCTAATATTTTTTTTCCATATTGACATTCTCCAAGGATGAAGACTGGAAACTCAATAGTAAATATGTTGCGCAGCAACTCAGATACTCTCATGCGTCCCGTTACTGAAACTCGCCCATATATATACATGTCTATATGCATTACCGTCCTGAAAGCTGACAATGATCTCAAGACCTTGATTGTTGGTGAGAAGAATAAATGGTAAGCTTCTCCTTTGCCATCGATTTTGAGCTGCCACTGATCCCGTCAAAGATAATTCCAGATCACGATGATAAGAAGGCTAAACAGTAGGATGTCAGGGAAAATAATTCAGATCCATATGCAGTGAAGGGAGATGATTTGCGTAAGAACACTCCAATGGAAAGTGAGGACGGAGAAGCTATCAAAACAAAGGTTGCTGGATGATGAGCCAGGGAAAATTGACAACTCTGAGGCCATTAAACATGAGCGGAATGACATGAAGATGGTGAGTGGGAGACACTAAATATTTGTCACATAAGTAAGAGGTTGAGCCTTACTTCAATGACTGGAAGAGGGTCACAAAAAGGAACCCAAATGCAAGGGCAAGTGGCATTCCCCGTTTGCCAACCATCCTAACTATAAGAATATCGTGAAGGTGTTTGCTTTCCTGGAATATCTTCCTTTCTTGGTGGTCAACAAGATCAATATCATGGTAAATATGTAATAGCACCTTTACTTCGTGCAGAATTGATGGTTTCTTCTTGAGAAGCCTTCCTCATGTTTTAACCTGGCTTCTGTAAATTTATCAACGTTTGGTTGGGGAGGACCCACACACCCCCACACACAACCATCTTTGCGCTCCTCTTAAAAAGGAAAGAGGATGAAAAACCAGTGGTACTTTTCAGCGGGTTACGTTGGATTGATTACCTAAATTTACTGATCAAGTTAATATCTTCTTTTTCTTCTGAGACACCTACATTTTACGTATCTCATTGAAAACCTTACAAAAACACTTGAATAAGACAGATAAGATAGGCAATTTCTTCGGAGAGGGGCAGCTGCAAGGAAGGGGAGATGAAGAGAGGGAGAGGAGAGCGTGATAAACTGGAACAGATACGAGGGATGAAGATATAACCTCGGAACAATGGAGAGGAATTGGACATTTTCTTCACCAATAGTGACTCGACGTTTAAGGAAATATTCACATAAATCATTCAGAAAGATGATTCATATCAATTTTAGGAAGCTCAACTATAAGAACCGATTTCAGCAGATCACCTTCGAAAATGCCACGTCGTGCTCTAGTCTATAGGGCTGCCCAACAACAGGTTAGAGTCAGACTTAGGACTAAATAGTTAAGTTCTGATAATAAGAGAAACCTTTAGCTGATAACTCGAACTTATGACTTCGGACTAATTAAAATAAGGCATCCCTGATAATTTAAGTCAATCCATCTAGGCCTTGATAAGGAGGATGAATTGACCATGGCCTATGAATCAAAAATTGAATTATTCCTCAGTACATACAAAATGTGCACATTAAATTTTCTTTATCTGCTTACATATATCTTCTCTGTACACCAATTTAGACATATCTTCCCTGTACACCAATCACTTCCAAAAAAATAGAGTTTACAATATCTGCATCCGATTCCCCGCATATTTTCTATGATCAAGTAACTATTTTAAATAGTTCTCTACATATATAAAGATGCAAAAATGTATTATTCTTTGGCAAATGAAAATAGCAAATGCTTCAAAGTATTTCAATTTTAATAATTTGTGACCTATAATCTGAAGCACTAGGTTAAAAGAAGCTAATACAACTAATCGCAATTAAAAAAATTAAAAAATAAAGTTTCTGTCTTATTTTGATAAAAAGCAATGTACCAAACGAGCTCAGAGGTAATCAGTAACAGAGATGAGAAACTAACTTTTTTTTTATAAATTACCTAAGACTTCCACCGGCGGAGGGCGCAGCGGATCGGTAGGAGGAAGAGCCGAAAGGCCAATGGAGGGGGTTGAAGGCTGGAGGGAGCAGATCGAGAGGGGGGTAAGAGCCGGAAGGCCGGAGGCCTCAGAATGGACGGATTAGGCTAAACAACGAGGAAAACGTCCACCAGCGATGTTCAGGATGGCAGAGCTGATGAAGTTCTCCTACCCGACGGCGACGTTCTCGTCGGCCACCGATTGGATTCCTTCCCCGGCGACAGGATATGCCGAACGCGGTGGGGAGGAGAGAACAGCCGGGCTCAGCCCGGATAATTTCTTCGTCAAACTCTTAAATTGGGCCGTACTTATGGGCTGGTACAGCCAAATTCTCCCATCATCAGCTGTTTCCTGGGCTTGGGCTTCATGGTGCGGGCCATTTAGTGTCCGACAATCGACAGTCACTTGACACGTTCTGTTTAAACAATTGATTAATGCATTTCTCAACCTAAATTATTCTACTTAACATTAGCATATAACTAATGCTAGATTACCCATTTAATCAACTGTGTTGTTATGTCTTCACCCACACCCACACCCACACCCACACACACACACACATGGGGAGAGAGAGAGAGAGGGAGAGAGGGAGAGAGGGAGAGAGGGAGAGAGGGAGAGAGGGAGAGAGGGAGAGAGGGAGAGAGAGAGAGAGATACAAAAGAGACTACCAACATACCCTCAATGTTGCTGTTTAAAAGGAGAACGGAGAGGAGGCTGGTAGAGAAAGATTCCACAACCTCCTCTTCCTCTATAATTTTAATACAACAAAGGTCCATTTCTGTTACCTTGTCTACTTCCCTCTCCCCTCACAATGGATTGCACTTGATTATGAAGGTAATTTAGTCCTATATTTGTTAAACTATTTGCCCAAAATAGTTAGTTAGATCAAGGTACTCAAAGTGAACACTTTGATAATTCTATGGGGATCGAGTGGAACAATTAAAACCCAAAGGTTCTAGCAACAATTCAACCAATTTGTGAGGAGATAAAACCAAATATTCCTTCTTTTGTACCAGGCCATTGGTTTATTGTATATATTTTCTGATAAACATAGACGTTGAATCTAGGGAATGGAATATTTTAAATAAACTTGGTGAATGTATAGTTTCACCAATCCTATCAAAATACTCAACTAAGAAAATTGACTAAACACTCTTCTTAGATCAAATTTATGTAGATTGGCTTACAAAGTGGAAAAACGGTTAAAGTCACAATGAGAGAATTTTAGCGTGCCAATGTGTTAATCTAGAATTAGACCTTACACGGGCAAGACAATAATATATGTTCACTTAGGATAATATCCTAATTGCTAGATAGACTATGCCTCATACAGATCTCTTCTATTATAATCACTTTTGAGTCCAGTTTTATTTTTTTTCTTGATTATGATGCACAAGGTTACTTCTTTAGTTTATTTTCTCCATTGAGACCTAAACTCGTCACTGATTCTTATTAAGACAATAATACAACGTATTTTGATTTTTCATTCATTAAATAAGACATTTGTTTCTCGACGTATTTGGAATGAGTTGTATTATGAAACCTTAAATTATCTATCATTCTAATTGTTGATCACTTTAAGACCATTACTAAAATCAATTATGTTTTCTACTTAAATCAGTGGGGGTGTCAACTTGCCAAATTGACATTTTGTTGCGAAGTACAGACTATATCTGGGCTCTTAGAAATGTACGAATTATTGCTATTCAACCTGAGACTTTTCTGAAGCCGAGGCCCAGTCTGTCACATGGGAATGGAGTTGGCGAGGATGAGGAAGGGTGTTACGGAGAGCGAATAGTTGTTGGAATGGTTGGTGTTTGGAGGAAGAGCAGGAGAGAGACAGGGTGGGCGCGGAGGGATTACTCAGAGAACGAGATAATGAGGTTCTGAGTTTCGGGCTGGACTCTCTTCGACGAGATATATAGCCTTGATCCGGACTTTTCGGCTTACGCATGCCCACCCCGGATCACCCATCTTTATGCCATCAAACTGCAGTCTTCACGTCAGTTACTGGGATGGTAATAGTGTGGATTTGATCTCATACATACTGGAGCAATCGTTTCATCTGTCTTATACATTATAAAAGCGGCCTATTTTGACAAAACAAGCCATATATTTGTTGGAAGGAAAATGTACGAAAGTATGTCTACATCAGAAGAGTTGCCAAAGTTCTTACATCTTACATCCTTCTATTCATCACAAGGTCTCATCTGCTGCAGTTCTTGGTTCCTTGCTAAGCTGTCATTTGGAGCATCTCCTGGTTCCTCTTGAGAGACTCGAGCCTCTGGAGCCTCATCTGCCTGTGGAATCTCCTGATGAATACCTCCGCCACGTGATCGATCTCGTCCTCAAGAACGAACTCCCCTTCATTCTCCCCCCTGGTGCTCTTCACCAGCTCCACCACGGACCCGCTGCCGTCGTCATCGTCGAAGAGGGAGTGCCGGAGGTCTGGGTACCCGTCATCCTCTTCTTCCACCGCCTCTCCGCCGCCGCCGGCGTCCAGATCCTGCAGCGTCTCTAACCCTTCTGCTTCACGTTGAACCATCGCAAAGGCGGCGGTGGCGGCCGCATCGTCCTTTTCGTGGCCCACGAGTGCGCTGATTTTGTGCGTGATGACGCTGAGGACCTTGTGGTTGTGGAGAAGGCCGAAGATGAGTAGCCGCGTCTTGAGCGCTCTCGTCTTTGTCTTGACGGCCGCCGACTTGGCCTTGACGATGGATACCAGCAGGGAGACAACCTGCTTCAGGAGTGCAGAGGCCTTGCTCTTCATCTTCGAAGCCCTCGGTTCTTCCCAGATGAGGAGGATGGAGAAAACACAAGCCTTGGGGTCCAAACGCTTCGTAAGGACGACTGTTGAAGCTCTCGGGAGCACTCTTCGAGATATTTCCTTATGACCGCCTGCCTTAAACAGGGAAAGGTAGCCTAGACTTGTTGCATCAAGTACGAGGTGTGCAGTGCGGAAGCTTGGTTTATACCGAGATATCTAGGTCTCCCTCACTATATATACGTGTCTCTCTGTATATCTATATGATTGACGTGGGTATAATTTGGATGAGGAACAGGAGGAAGAGTGGGCACTAAGTAAGAGGGGTAGGGTCCTCCGTGGGCTCTTGCTGTGGGCGACAGGTGGAAGGAGGGCTCACCAGTTCCTGTTCTATGCTGGTGTAGTTTAGTCTGGTTTAAACGTTTCCCCGCAGAAAAAGAAAAAGACGGGTTGGTCTGGTGTTGCTTTTCTGGCTGTCACGTTCCGATCAAGCCGTTGGAGCCTCCGGCGCAGCCGGATTTCATGTCGAGAAAGATGAAAAGTAGACCGCGTCGGCCTGTAAAGGTGCGCTCCCGGAACAGGTGGGCCAGGGAGCCGCCTTCCCGCCATAGGTTGACGACGGGCCGAGCCCAAATAATGACCCGATCCGACAACTTGTTGACGATTTTTGAAAATACTCGGTGGATGCTCGGGGGGGCCTGCCACTGGCCAGGGGAGCGTGTAGGCCTTGGGTCGCCTAGAAAGTAGAGTGTACGAAGGCAAGCATGTTGATATGAGAATGGGATTCAAGCTTTTGGATTGTATCTCTCAACGTCTGGTTTCATTTCTATTTTAGAAGACAAATTTGAGATATAGTCATAGGAAAAAACCATTTGGGTCGATTTATGATTAGAAATTACCGTACTAGGTTATAGCTCCTTCGAATTCAACCTGGGCTTAGCCAATTCAATGTGTAATCAAAGCTGGTGATTGTGTAGAATTTTCTTCTTCTTCTTTGAATTGCTTTGTAAAAGCTAGTTCCTTCTAGGAGTTATTAGGTAAACTCCGGTCATAGTAACTAACATACAATGAAATTATGACAAATGCATTACACCATTTTATGTGATTCGTGATAATCTTCCTTCAAGATGTGTTAGTCCCTTTCTTCTATGATTATTTAAAGGCTTCAATGATTATTTAAAGGCTTCAATGATTATTACCAATGAGTAAAATTCTATCTATTTCTTTCAATTTTTTAGTGGAAAGCTTTGGTTTTCGAATTTTAGAGTGAGGAAATATTTCCTGTATTATTGAGTAAAGAAGGAATTTAAAGCTTATTTTAAATGAATTTTAGGCATGTTGAAAATGAAATGATGTTTAGATATCATAATTTTTTGATTTTAATGAGATAAACATACTTGTCATATATGTTGTGACAATAAATTTTGTATGAAAAGTTAAGAAATAATTTAGATATTTAAGTAATGACAATTGGGAAGGACATAAAGATGAATTAATTGTGTCAGCACACAGGAAATATGTTGACACTATTGACTATTGGCTATTGGAGGCATTCACGTTTCAATGTTGACAAATAGATAAAAATGTATATTGGTAATTTTATATTACCAAAGTATGGTACACAAAGATTAGTTCATTAATAATATATTGCACAAATCATTGAAAAAGTTGCACATGAAAATATGATAAATAACATGAGAAATTATTTTTCATGTTTTTATGGGAATAAGTTGACTTACCATGTATCAAGAGAGATGTGGCTACGATGAGGCCGAAGCTATGTGAAAAATATAGTAAATGAACAAACATGATAGCCACAACAATGAATAAGAAAAATTGTTAGAAACAGTTTTTTTGACCATCCAATACTCTAAAAAGTAGAGTTTTCATTTTGTATACAAGGATCAACTAAAATACTTTACACAACCCTACCAGAACTTATTGGTACAAAAATTTGTTATCGCTAAGGAGCTATTACCATGGACTAAACATTATGAAATAAATTCAACCCTTCACTTTTAAAGCCTATTCTCAATGTTCAAGGATATTCTAAATTAAATAGAATAAGATTTAAGTGTTAGTTTGATTATGTTATGACATGGGTACTAATTATGCTCAAGCTGATGTAGAGTAAGTCCATTTAGAGGTAGGTGTTTGACGCTTAGGCCAAGTTAAAGGTGTCAATAAAGAAACAAGTATTAAGCACACTTGAGTAAAAAAATAAATCAAACTTCTGCATTGAAGGCCAAAACTAAAGGGTGGGTCAAGGAAGCTCCAAATAAAATGGAATACAATACAATATTTTTTGTACATTGTTATTAAGAGTTCACATTGGTATAGATATACCATTTAATGCAAGTACTAATTGTACTTCATGATGACCTAGATTAATCAATCTTGATGCATGTGTTGGACATGTTTAAGTTAACCTAGAGTTGTTTGTCTGAATGAAAATATTAAAACATAAGTTGACATAGTTGGAGTTGTGTGAAATAGAAATTTCACCATTCAATCTATAAAAAAAGATTTTTTTAAAAAAAATCAAGTTTTGAATCCAAATAACTAGGAAAATTAATACAAGGCTCACTTGCTATACTTTAGTCTTTAAGCATCATTTCCTTAGATTGCACCAACACTTAGTACAAATGTTGAACACAAGGCTTAAGTTAGTCTATGTTAGATTTGATATCTCTAGCCAACCTAAGCATTCCTTAAATACATCTTATATATTCATAGTTTTAGGCAGAAATATTAGAATAGCTCCCTCTTCAATACTGATGGTCCTAGGTCAGCCATAATGAAATACTTGAATATAAGAATTTAGAGGTCAAACCTTCTTAATAATTTTCTTGATTTGAATGAATGGACATAAAGGTAAGGAGGTTAAATGCTTGGGAAGGATATAGAAATATTGATTGTATAGAGTATAATCTTCATTTGATATGTTGGAGGGATTAATCTTCATATAAGTTTTTTTTTGTCATTCTTTAGGCTTACATTAGTCAAATTGTTTTTTTAACAATAGTCGCTTTGATGGCTATTTTTATTATAACACTTTGTCTTTTTATATTTTTTTTCTATAGTGTTGTGCTCGATAACATTTATATGAAGACAATTCACTTCTTAAAAGGAACGGAAATACTCCAAACTTGAAAATAAGATGTCCTAAAATCTTGAAAGGCTTTTCTGAAGGTGAGAATAGAATATTATCAATGTGTTCAAACGTAATTTAAATATACAAGATTTTTTTTATAAAATTATGATTTATCTTTTACATATTTGGCTCAAAATATGCTATGGTTTTTCTTCCCTATGACCATTAAGCCTTCTCCATATAAAGTGGGTCGACTTTAAATGATAAATTGGTCAGTATGTGCTATAACCTCTTACTGCCAAGTAAGTTGTCTCACTTCTAACAATGAACTGAAAAACACTAACTTAGAACCAAAAAAAATCCGAATATGTAAGGGACTCTATTTTAAGTTAGAATATAAAGTTCTCAAGGATGAATGATTTTATAATGTGAAGCCTTACATAGTACCTTTCTTACTATGTGAGGTGAGTTGACTCATCTTATAGAGTTGAATCATGTGTCAAGCCTTTCCTTGAGAATAAGACTGCCTCACAAACAGTTCCTAAATCACAGAAATTTCTTACAGATGTAAAACTTTTTACCAACGTTTTTACAAGTAATAAACATAACCTTGGTAGAATTTATTATTTTATCCTTTCATATATTTTTTCAACTGAAAAACTAGAAAGGCTACAAAAGGAATCACTTTTTGTGACACTAAAGGGTTTTGTGCTATGAAAGATTAAAGGGAAATTTTTTGGCAATATTTCCATGTTTGAACTTTCAAGCCTTATAAGCAATCAATTTAAAATTCTTCGATTTTTCCAAGGACCTTCTCCATTGAAGTTTGCATCTTCAAAATTCAAAAAGTGAACAATAAGTCCTTGAATGACCTTGTGAGTATTTTGTCTATGTTTTCCTCTTGAATTGCACAAGCTTACTCTTAAGTCCATTTCAAATGTAGAACCTAGGCTTTGCATGTCTAAAAGCCAACATGTAGTAGGGTAGGAGAAGTCAACTAGACATATAGAAGAAAGGTACTAGCATAGAACGAGCTAAGGTCTCACTAAACAACTTTAACTTTTAATATTGTGGTGTTCGATGTTACTTTTAGAGCAAGAAGTTAACCAATGTTACTGTAAAAAATCCACCGCCTCTTCAGTTGATAGTCTCACTAAGGACCTTTATAAAGTGCACATGAGTTTTATGATTTCAGTGATTATCTTCCAAGGTTATTTGCAAATTCCACAATGTTATGCATTCATATATTACAATTATTGGGAAACGGATATTTAAACCCACTGAACTAAATTGAGCAAAATAAAATGGAAATCAACTAAATAAAGGTGGTAAACAACTGATTTATGTTTTTAATGTTTTATTTAGATTTATTAAAATGAGGTCAATTTTGGACTAAATAGGAATATTACGCATTTTTTTCAACTTGAAAATTAAATGAAGTTGGAAAAAGCTGAAGAGTATAGGCAGGTTGTCGTTTTTATTTTTGAAGGGAGAGTCTGAAAATAAACCTCTTAGGATCGAAACTTGTCACAACAATGGGCCGTCCAGAGAATCGATCCTCTACTCATGGTGATTGGACGGTCAGTACCCTCCATTCTGAGAGATCTTCCAGAGGAACATGGAGGAAGAATTTTCGGCGTGGGGGATGCCGTAATCCTCTCGATACGCAGCGCCGGTCCCGTCTCCAGGGAAACCGTGGACGCTATAAGGCGGGGAGTAGGGATCAGCCGGCGGGGCTGGAAAGGGGACGGCCGGCGACCACGATATCTGATGTTCTCTCCCCCAGAGTCCGAAGTCCGCGTGTCTGTACAATCCCGACGACGGCGGAGGTGGAGAGGGAGGGAGAGGAGCTGGGCAGCAGTCGTAGAACGTTGCCCCCAGTAGCTGCTGCGTGGGAGATTTGGTCGGAAGAGGACCGTATAGGTGGGTTGCCGGTGGCGACAGGGGAAGAGGTGGGTAGAAGCCGGATGGCATCGCCGGTCGAGGCGGGACGGGTGCATCGTACTCACCGCCATGAGGGCTTCCACAGCTCTGCGATTGCAGGTTAGGAGGCGATCGAGGCGGCAGCTTGCTGTCCTTGAGGTGGGACCTGACCCGATAACGAAACGTGAGGACTCCGCGGCTGGGGGAATCTATCTTGTAGCTCACAGATTTGAAGCGGTTGTCGCTGCTGCAAGCGTCCCGGGAGTAACCCTCGACGAGATCACGAAGTAGGATCGGGGTCAACCCCACGATCTTATCGCCGAGGAGGCCTCCGAAGCCGGAGCGCACCACGAAGTCAAACTCGAGGAGGAGGGATCTCAAGGAGGAGCCATCCGCGGCTGCAGCGGCGAGGTCGAAGCGGATCTCCTGGTTCCACTCCGGGTTCCGACCGCCGGAGCGATCGAAGGGGGTGCTCTGTGACTGCTTGCGGGTGACACTGCCGCCGCCGTCGCCGAGTGACACGACGGCGTAGACCGGGGGCGGATATCCCCATTGAAAGAGCGGCAGGGAAAGGTCCTGGCAGGAGAGGGCCTTCAGCTCGATCATGGCGGCCCCGTCTCCCGTCATGATGGATTCTCTCTCTCTCTCTCTCTCTCTCTCTCTCTCTCTCTCTCTCGTATGTGTAGAGCTCCATTGACATTTCAATATGACCCTAGTTGACTTATTCCGCCCGGACCTGTTCGCTCAACCACCATCCCCCCCCCCCCCCCCCCCCCCCCCCCCCCCCCCCCCCCCCCCCCCCCCCCCCCCCCCCCCCCCCCCTCCCCCCACCCGCTCGCCACCTCTCTTATCTCTTTCTGGTGATGTTCATCAAATGGTTTATTTTTATATATTTTGTGGATCTAGCGGAATGCATTATATTTTATGGCAAATAAAAATACTATCCAGCTGCCGTATTTAAAGAGCTCTCAATGAACCTTCTTTTGCTTGTTCTCGACCACACAACGGCTCCATCAAATCTATCTCTAAAATTTTCTTACATGGGTTTCTAGTAAGATTTTATATCGCATTTGAGTCTAATTACATTTCATAGCTTGCTTGATCATGTAGGATTGAGTTTGGTTATTAATGCTCAAAATACAAGTTAGTTCAATTTTTTTAAAAGATAAATAATTCTGTTTCTTTGGGTTACCAGAGAGTATTATATGTTTGTGTGCTTCATCAAGTTTTTTCACTTCTACAAAACGAACCCAATTAAACAAAAGAGAAAAGCTCAGAAACTAAGTTTTTTAGCAAATGTAAGTGATTCATGAGAGAAGGGGTTGCCCGGGAGGGGGGGGGGGGGGGGGGGGCGCTGAAACAGGGGATAAAAAAAAGATACTTCAAGACTTTTAAATTGAACCAAAAAACAAAAAAATATTCTTACAATAGGGGGGAGGGCGCTGAAACAGGTGATATAAAAAAGATACTTCAAGACTTTTAAATTGAACCATAAAACATAAAAATATTCTTACAATATTGTCACATGCAAATTATTGTATATATGTAGAACCTAAAATTTTAGAGTTATTTAATTATAAAAATCTCAATTATTAGATTTCCTTCCTCTTTCTTTATTTACTAGGTTATCTAATATTTTTGGTTCATTCACAGAGGTATTGATTTAAATATCGTAGATAATTTAGAGCCATTCATGAAAAGCAAACCATCCTAAAAAAAGCACATCATTGGATATTCATGAAAGGCAAGATACCTTCATAAGCCCTACTTGATCTCTTTCTCATGGGAAAAATTATTAAATATCTATTGAGCATTGAAAGGAAAACAATTTCATTCGAATAATGTTTGAGGATGAAATTTGATAATAGAGATCTTGTTGATAGATTAGATAAAGACGTTTACACATAAATAGGGATTGCAACGAGAATGTTCACATCATTGATCCAAGATATTTAAATTGTCAATTTTGTGTAGTTTGTGTGATATCTTAAATTATTCAAACATAGTCCAATTGTTTGCAAGCACTTATAGTAATTATAGAAGGGATTTTTATATTTTACACAAGCATATTTAGTTTATAAATAATGTTAAATGATGAAGTACACTAGATTATTTCATAAAAAAAAGTGGTGATAGAGTTCATTTAAAAAACCTGAAACCTATTAAAAGAGAAGATAAATCATGTTAAATTTCTGAATTTTCATCATCCACAAAATATGATGGAAATAATGATAATTTATAAAAAAATGAGGATTTTTTTGATGATATATATGATTTTTAAATCATATAAATCAGAAATTGACTACTAACTATAAACACCATAATGATGTGATAGTATATTATATGCTTATAAATTGGATTTGGTATACAAAATATTATTTGACATTATATATGGAAGTGAAACCCAAAAAATATGACTTTGGAGATGCTATGAATGGACAAACCAAATATAAGTGCCCAAATATATGATTGATAGAGTGAAAGAAGATTTTTAATGTTAAACTAGTTTTTGAATGTGATAAATGGTCGACTTTATGGTGGTCACCAAAATGAAGAGGCGTTTGCCCAAGAAAATGTCTTATGCAACCTCTTTAAGATAGATTCAAGCTATCTCATTTGGATTGAAGTAAATATCACAACCTAAAGGAATGAGACTAGAAATTCATTGATCATTCTTTAAGTGTTTTAAGTCATTAAATTAAATATTTATGCATTTCTCCAATTCTTTGAGAGTGCGTTAGGTTCCCATTCACTTGGCTTTTCTACATATTATTCAAATGTTCCATTTTAACTATAATTAAGGTTAATCATTTTGGTTACTAACGTGTCTAAGTTGAAAGTTCTTCAGATTTTGTGTTTGAATTGGAGTTATAAAATAGGTTGCACTAAAATAGTGGATATGTTGGAGGAATTGATTATCTAATGGGATAGAAGAACCATAAAATTCTTATGTCCCATCTTATGTGTGATTGGCTGAATTTTGTTTTCATTAAGGTTCAGATACATAATGCCACTTGACCACTACTAGTTTCAAACTGTTGGAATTTTTACAAGGAGGGCAGGGGGTAGGGAATTGTCACAAGTCCATTTGGCATGGTTGACCAAATCTACTCTATAAAGATATCATCCTTATGTTCTACTGAATATTTGGTGAAATAAACGCTAAATCAAGAATTTAACCACCTACACTAGATTTAGTTGTTCTAGTCAACTCACTCCATCTAGAAGTAATCTTCTACATTCATGGCTTTAGGGGGAAAAAAAGAGGAGGTTCACTCCTCTATTCAAGATTATGACTCTAGGGGACTAGAGTAGAGAGATTTACCACTTTACTCAATTAAAAAAATGGACAAAATAAATGAGTTATAAATCAACGATGACATTGAAATCCAAGCTACATGAGCTTGATACCTCTAATTTCTTGTTACTATAGCATGTGCAAGGAAAATAGTTTCAAGGCTTGAGCAGCAGTTGATATTCTATGACTTTAGGGGGTCAAGGATGAATAATTCTTATTTGAACTCCTCAAGGGAAGAAGGTGGACATGGAAGTTATCTTTCTAATTCTTCTCTCTTGCTCACTCCCCTATAGGGTGGGCCAAAATGTCCCTCTTATATGAAGTGTATTAAGTCATCCAATGGTTACTTGTAATGGTTGGTTAATTGATTCATTTTGGGACACATGTGTGCTGCATAAAAATAATTTTTGATCTTGTAAAAAACGTAATATGTCAAAATATCAGACTTTTTATGTGCTGATCAATGCATTGTAGTATTCCTTTAATTGTGTTTCAAATGAGTATATGCATGCTTACCTTTGGGACACAACTTCCACACTAAATCATTTTATTCATTTAAAGTTTAAATATGAACCACTTTACCTTTGAGAGAATTTCAGTTAGTTTTAATCATTTTTCTCAAAAATCTAGATCACTTGAGTATATAATTTGAATAGTTTATGTTTTACCAAATTACCCTCTATATATTTTGTTATCATCAAAACAACTTAGTCTCCTAATGCCATCACGCAGCCACCACACATAATGGTTGATTTAAAGCCAACTTATATTAGTTGACTTCTGTAGAAAATAAAATGCCTACAGCTTGAAATGGACCAAGCTGAATATTTGCCATACATATTAAGCATAATAATCTAATTTACCATTCTGTATATTTCAGGTGAGAGCATAATTAAAGACATGGTGCTATAAAGAGACTATATAAGCACCCATAAGTTAGAGATATGTGTCTAAACTTTTAGACCAACCAATTTCTATTATTTTGACTGAACTCTGAAGTAAAAATTTCATTAGAGATGAGTTATCTTAAAATCAAAGTTTTAATTCTAGTTAAAATATTTTTATTTGTGATATTGATGTAAATAGTTTAGTTTTTAGTTATTGAGTTAATGTTTTAGTTATTTCCTTTAAAAGTAAATAAAAATATTTTTATAATTCTTGTGAAGTATGAATTAAAATAATTTTAGCGATAATTATGAAAATCCCAAATAAGAAATAATTTCAATTATTTCAGAATCTAAATTATTGTACTAAGTTATATGTATATGGTGAATGTTGAAGAATATAGTTCTTTAAACACAAGATAAAAAAATATTTCTACAAAAGTTGGTTCCTAAAAGTTGAATGATACTGCTCATGGAAATATCATATTTAACCATTTGAAATTTAATGGCTATAAGTGATGACTTGTACAAGAGGACTCGAAATCAGAAACTATTAGCTTTAAGTTAGTAATATTTTGGTATTGACAAAAAAAATAAAATATAATATAAAGTAGTCATTTAACATATTATTATTTAAAAATTTATATGATAATTATCTTTAGCTATACATCCACAAAATTCTTACTAAAATTTACCACAAATAATTTTTTTATTAATTTTTCTTATTTTAAAAAATGCCTATTAAAATATTTACTACAATAAAAAATAATTTGAGGGTATACTACCTAACATGACTTAGTCATTGTATAATAAATCATGCAAATTAAAATTTATAAAATTATTAAATACTGATTTTAGATATTTAGAAATATTTATGAACAAATATATTAATTATAATTCAATAAAAGTTTCAAAAAATAATAAGAATTTTTCAAGTCGACCATAGGGATGTAATGTAGTATAAGGTAATATTTCAGAATTATTTTAGAAAAAATATATTTTTTATAAATTTTAGACTAAGAAATAAAAATAAAATATATTTAAAATTCACAAAAAGGTAAATAAGAGTGTAGACGTTAGGATGACATCAGCGCTTGACGAATACAAATTAAATAGAAATGGAGTTCCGCCTAGTGATTCTTACATAAGTAATGATAGACAATTTAATTGATTAAATTAAGATCTATAAAAACTATAAGAATTGTAATTAAATGAAAAATGATTTAGAAACGTGACATCACAGAAATTATCACTAAATGAAGTAAAAATTATGTTGAAGGTAAGAAATACAGAGTTTTGACTTCACGATAGTGATCGACGATATTCTATGTGTTTGGAAGGATCATCGAATGATGTCTCTAGCCTCAAAGGCTTTCCCTGGACATAGACGACCTAGACATTCATTAGATATCTTTTCAAAGTTGAGAAATTGATGGTGGAAGTTAAACTAGTTAAAAAAAGAAGATAAATAGAGTTCTAACATCGTGACAGCGATGCATTGATGATGCATTAGAATCCTGAGCATTCAGGAGGATTGTCATGCAATGTCTATGGCCTCAAAGGCTCTCTTTGGACAAAGACGATGTAGGTAATATCTAGATCTTCTTGTGAAATGTAGATATCAATGAAATGAGTTGTTGAATCATCTCTAGTGGTTGTCACCCGACAAAATAGAAAAATGACGACTTTAGGACTCTTCTGCGATTGTCACTCGAAGGAGATAAGCTAGATAGAGTGGGGCATGTCTTAAAGAGCTTCATCCTCAAGTCTGCGTAGCAAGAGGAGGCTCTTTATCATATTTGGTATGTTTTTAGGAGGTGACGACTCGTCTCTTGGTGGATCATCTTCTTCCTAATGACGGCTTATTCATCAATTAATCATAGATAATTTACTTGATGGATTTGTGAATCGTTCAACAATTTTAGTAACAATGCTTTACGAATTACATTGACGAAATTTTTATTGATGATTGAGTGATTATGATAGCTTAATCCTTCATTGACAATCTGCAGAAAAATCATGATTAAATCAAATAAAAATATGAGTTCTGACTCTAGTAGGATTCGAATCTTCATTGATTGCCTGCCTATATGAGAGAGAGTGAAATAAGTGTACTAATATCCTTATAAAGTGATATCATTAGGGCTGCTACTTCTAATAAATAAAGGATATTTGAGGAACAAAAAATTATTAAGATATTTTGGAGAAGGTGTGATATTTGGTTTAGTCTTACATCGGTTATATGCTGATTTTTGAGATGAATATATAGTAAGACAAGCTTTAAAAGGTAATGTGTCCTTCTCTCGCATGTGTACGACCACTCCTTACCTCACATGAAAGAGGAGTGATGCACACATACCTCTCTATCGGTCCCATCCTTAGCTGCTTGAGCCTCGTTTACAACTTTGTTCGATTGTGCTTTCCATCCACTTGCGAGGGCCCAGCTGACTGGTGAATTTTCTCTTTTTTCTATCATTTTTTTTCTTCATTTATCTCAAAAATAAGATTATATAAATTCATATAAAATCACATAATTAGCCAAAAAATCATATTAATCAATTAAAAACTACTTTTCACAATTTAATTCAAATATGTCTATTTATCATGAGATAAAGTTAAAACTATATTATTTATTTATTATTAACTCATGATAATGAAGATTTATCACTATCACATTACTCTAAACTAGTAAACCTTTTGTAGATTTTCAGGCGTTGATAAAAATGACCAATATATTACTTTTAAAGCTTCAATAGTACATATAATTATTATCTTTGGGAACTTTAAAGTTTTTGATTTTAAAAAAATATGTACAAAGGTAGTACAATAATACTATAATGTCAAAATTCTATAATTTAAAAAATATAAATCACAAAAGATTGCATTGAATTAATGAAATTACACTAAAGGCTAAAATTTGTTGAACTTAAGACTACACATAGATCAAGAAGAGGAGGTTAAACTAACCTTACCCTACAATTTATTTTGGGTAAATTATTTTATTATTCTTTTAATCCGAAATTTTATTATATATCCTAAATTTAAAATATAAATAATACTATTATTTTCATAGTAGTTTGGCGTCTTTGATATATGGACTCTCTAAGAACACATCATTTTCAGGTTTCACAAAATGAATGTTTAAGAACAATTAGTAATTACCAAGCATTGTTCCTTTTGAATTTTACTTCAAGTTTTATTTTACATTAATGGCTCTACATGAGCCAAAGTTGATTAGATGCTCAAATCCCTTTAGTAATTAAGTTAAGAAATAAAAAAAGTATCATTGATTTAATTTTCTAAAATATTAATGCAAACTTTAATGTAGTCTTGAATTTGTGAAGAGAAAGTCAAATTTCTCTTGATTTTATTTTCTTTATTCACATCATGACTCTATCTGATTGCATAACATGCCTTAACTGAAATCAGATTAACAAAGATCATCTTTGGGTAAAGGTTTGTTCCACAACAAGTTATCTTGTCTTTGCAAATCTTCCCAAATTCACTTGTAATTCCTTGCAAAAGTTCTTAGAAAAAAACTTGAGATTGTTAATGGGTCAAGGATGATCATTTAGAAATGATTATCTATATGAGAGATGTTGTATTCATAAAATTTTTTAAGCCAATCATCTTATATTTTTCCATTACTGAACATTAAAAATTCAAAAGAAATTATAAATTCGAGTGGCCTAAAACTAGTATAATACATCCGTTAAGGATTTTGACATCTCTAAAGTTAAATCAATACATTTAACTATTAAGTTTCAACATATATATCTTAGGTTATTACTTGTCCAAATAATTAAAATGAGACTATGAAGACATTTCAAAATAATGAATAATTTAAAACCAAATTAAACCAAAATTATACCAAGTAAAATATGAGTTTCAACTAAGCCTGTTAAATTTTCATGTAAATACTTCACATGATTACTTTGGCCATATATGATATTCAAAATTATTTTCAATTAATATTTAATGATATTCATAAAAGTCAAAAAGACTTTATACTCAGATTCAATCAATTAGTTTCTAATTGAATATTATTGGAAATAATAAACTTAGTATGAATCATATCAATATTTTGCTTCAGATATTCATGTGAAATCCAACATATAAAACATTACTCATCTTTAATGGCATTTTTAGAAATTATTGAGAATTTCCACAATAGAAAATAAAGTAATGATTTTGAGTGGTAAATTCATCATAATATTGGAGTTGAAAACATGGGCATCAATTAATTTTAGTGAGTTATATTTTTCACACTTTGTAGTATTATTGTATGCTCTATAAATTTATTTTTAATTAATTTCACGCATGTGTCCTAAAGATCACTCATGTATATTAGATGTATATGAGTATTTAACATATTTCACCATATTCATTTATCTTATATATGTTTGCCATGATCAAAATTATTTTGGATAGCTATTGCTGCTGATGAAAATAAAATGGTTTTTATACCCCTCAAAATAGTCAAATATTTTTTATATGTAAATTTATTGCAACAAGAGTATATGCATGTGAGACATGCTGAAAGATATCTTAAATGAAAATAAGATACAAAAACATCACGTCTGAAGTCAGATTTCATTTTTTATGTATTTTACTAGACTAACAAGCATTTTATGAATCTTAAATCAATGCCTCGTTGTGACAATTAATGACACAATTTGGATCCATTGCAAATAACTATTGGAATGGCTTGAAATGCAACATATGAAGAGTGAACTTTCACCCACTTTAATAGGTAGTAAAAAAAAGAGAGTGAGAGCACAATGGTCACATATTTCATTAAAAGTATCAGTACAAACTACGTGAATTGATAATTAGACAAAGAAGAAAATTCGGCTGGCACTAATGCATTTAGAGTCCTATTAGTTGATTTTGGATCTCTGAGAGAAGGAATTAACCAGAAGGAAGCTTCATGTAAATCTATAAGAGTGCACACTTATTTTTAACTTGTTCTTTGATTTCCTAGAGCTGATAGATCTAGTTTTGCCGTTTAAAGGCCTTTGTGTTTAGTAAAGACTTGTTAAGGTCTCATGTTCAATACGTTTCACTAAGAAATTAGTGGAATTTGACTTTTTACTTACAAGTATAATAGTTTTGGGGGACAAACCAATATAACCTTGTGGGTTCTTAGATCAAAATAAGAACAAAGAAGAACAAAGAAGAACTTGAAAGAAAATTTCACTCCCACTCTTAGTTCCTAGTTCCGGCCCACTAAAACCAACAATTATAGCTCACATAAAATATAAGAGTTTTGTATTAAAAAAGATCTAAACTATAAGAGATTGTTAAAAAAATCTACATTGTAAAATGCCAATTATTACTTGATTTTAAGCCCATCTTTTCATATTGAAAGAATAACCTAGCCTTAAGTCTTTGTAACTTATTATCTTTTCATGTAAGAGATCCCCTAGATATAATGTTATTACCACAATTGGATGCACATAGGCTTATTCTAGAGTTACAATCCTCAAACAATGATTGCCCTTTCATATATGACATATCAATGATTTATTAATTCACCTAAGATTCCCAAACTCTATGCTGTTGGGGAATTCTGCCACCTTGATTGATTATTTTTGAGTCCAAAATTTTGACAAAGTGCTTCTATGTTATTTCCAGCCAAGGTGGCAGTTCAAGATTTTTCTAACATTAAAGTGCTTAAATTTTTTTAGTCAACTATAGATAAGCCAAGTACACCAATTCGAACTAGCAAAAAGAAAACATGCCGAGTAATTGATAACTAGTACTTTGAACCTTTCATGTACTTTATCTTACTTTCAGAATAGCTAAGTCGTTCTCTTTAATGCTAGAAGAGGTTTGTCATTAAATTTTCATGATTTTATTCACTTTTATTCAAAATTTTCGATGGTAAGTGATGTGCAAGGACATAAACAGAAATTAATCCTTCAAATTTTCTACATGAAATTTTAGTATATTGCGTAAGTTTTCATCTTTATTTATGTTTTTATTGTTGTGCATCTAGGAGACCAAATGCATTAGCCATAAACATCTTTTGCAATCTAATAAGATTCAATATTAAAAAATTCTACTCGATTGATTTGCTACACTAAATGTAAAATTAAGAATAATATATTTTTACATCCATCCTATACTTGTTGAATTTTGTTGGTTTCACAATAAATAAAAAATTAATGAAAATATCATACGTAAAAATCATGGGATTACGTTTTAGTTATTATTTTCCATGAAATGTTTTCTATCATCATCAAATTCAATGGTAAAATGTAGATGAACATGGAAACTCTAATAGTAACATGCTTAATTAGAAATGTTATCCAAAGCTTCCTTATGCTTAATACTTCACAACATTTTGGCTTTATTTTGATATAGTTTTTGCCTTTATCGTCAAGAAATTTTGATGTTGACAAAATTCATAAAAATGTTGAAATCAGTATTGTTTAGTTTTATGTCAGTTTAATGTTTTTGTGAACATTTATGGTCAACTAAATTGTCATCCATATTTCCTACTAACACGTAGGTGCGAGCTCATAAATTGAAGATGAACTTCTAATTGGGCAGTTGACTTCATAAGTCTTCATTTGGGCAATGCTTGAAAACCTCTTAAGTCACCTTAAAGACAACATGTCAACAACATGCTACATATTATAAATCATAAGTAATAACTTCCGATTTCATGGTAGAGTCTCTCCCTATACAGTGATGGTTTTGAAGGGTTACTGATAAATACTAGGACTCTTTCTTGAACTTCAAAGACAGCCAGGATTGTCTATCGACATGTATGTTAAACTAGATTGTGAGGCCAAGTTTTAACCCTTAAAACACACGTACTCTTTCTTCCAGTCTCATGGGATCTTACCAACTATTGGCATACCTTGAACTCATTGAAGGGCAATGTTTTCAGCAAGGAAATAAGGTTGAAACCAGATACAAGGTTATATATAAACAGGAAGTTCTCACTAGTGGTAAGTGGAGCACTGAGGTTCCCCAGTAGAGCGTGAGACGTTAACGACTCGAGAGCTTTCCTAATTAGGCTTTGAGCGCACTTTTACGAAGTGGTTCTCATCAATGTCTCGAATCATCAAGAGGGAGTGATAATTGGAGAGATTATTGTTGGGCTGGCCTAGTCCAACAATGTTTTGGCTAAACTATTCCTCCGAGGATTAATAAGGGATCTGGGTAGGTTTTTGAGTGGGCCTAGTGTTCTGCGGCAGGTTGAATGGCATGGATTGGAGTAAGAATGCACAACCCATTCCTGTCTACCTCGTACCAAGCATATCGAGGTTGTGTCATTGGCGCTGTGTGAGGCAAATGACCGGAGGATGAAGATGCTGGAGAAACATATCTGAGTCAATTTCGATCTAAATCCGAACCTGGGGTTTTGGCCTTTTAACATCAGTACACTGTAGTCGTCGGACCTTATGACTTTCTTCAGCAGTAACTCTAGCTTAGTGTGTGATTCAAGGATCTGACTCGTACTGATAGCCTCAAGGTGGTTGTCTTCTCGATGTCAATTTTTAATTTTATTCATCATTAAATTGAAAATAACCTGATCTCTATATCTATTTAACCCTATACTTATGAGAGATACCATAATTCCTTAATTAACCTTCATGAATCAATTTAGTAAGATTATCTTAATAATGATAAAATAATATACCACACATTGAGATAAGATTCAACAGTTCATCCATCCAATGTGATGACTAAAGTTATCTCTGAGGACATATTAGAGCTTTGAGTACTAAGTGAAGGATAATCGTCAAGTGGGCCTAACATGCGAAGCTTATTAGGGTTCTATCTGGACTCCAGGGCGAAAACGAAAACGCGAGGACCAACTCTCTACGTCTCAGAAGGAAAGAAAACCGGAGAGAGCAGCTGCAGCAGTAGCAGCAGCAGCAGCAGGAACGAGAAGAATCCTGGCTCCTCTCCAGCCCCATCAGATCACTCTCCAAGGCCTAAAGATCCCTTTTCTGATAGCGTTCAGATATTACTGCATGTCAGGTACTTAACTCACTCTTTAGCATCTTCTCCTTTCCCGTCTTTGACTTGGCTACATCTCTTATCCTTATTTATTCTTATTTTCGGAATCCTTTATTTCCTGGGATTTGTTCCATGTCAGCTCACTGTCGTTAGTGGTGCTACTCGAGCTCAGGCCTCTGAAATCGAGAGGAATCGAGTTCTCTAGTAAAATTTTCTTCTTCTTCATTTTTAAATTGCTGCGAGCAAATGCAATAGATCCGGAAAAGTTGGAAAACCCACGTCGTTCGAACTCTCGATCAAAATTACCATGTTGTTCGTCATTTCTAAGATACTGCGATCAGATTTAAAGTAGTAGATGTCGAAAAGTCGGCAACCCAAGTCGTGGTCCTGCAGGGATCGTCTTAGAAATAAAGGTGTCGTTTTTTAATTAGGTTTTTCGTTTAAACCACCGCTCTCTCGGATCCCTTTTCTGAAGGCATGCTTAGCCCTGGCGACAGCAGTGAAGGCGTGCTTTCTCACTGATCATTCCCGTCTCTCTCTCTCTCTTGTCTCCAACTGTAGCGTGCGTAGCAGAGCACAGAGGAAGAGAGAGAACGGGAGGCTGCTGCAGCTGCTGGTGGGGCAGGAGAGCGGCACTGCTCTTGAAACCAGAGGGCCTTAACTATTCGTCGCCTAGCTGAAGGTTCATTCACCCAGTACGGACTGTTAATCGGTCTGGGTGAGAGAGATCAGAGGAGAGGATGAAGACGCAGGCAAGGACGGGCGAGGTCACCCGGAACGGGAAACCCGCGCCAGACCACCGGGCACTGGACGGAGATGCCGTACCTGCCGGTCCTTAACTCGCCCCTCCCTGCCGCCAATCTGACCGCCGCGGTCGTTGCCGTCGGCGGCGGAGGTTCCGGTCAGGGAGGCCGCCACCGCGTTGCGGGCCCTGCGGCCGCGGTCAAATCACGCCTACGTTGGCCTCAGTCGCGGCTGGGCCAAGCCTCGGAAGAAGAGGACGCCGTTGGTCACCTCACGCCCGCTCCCCCACTCCGCTGCTGCTGCTGCTGTTGTTACTGCTGCTGCCGCCGCAGGCTCGGCGTGGCTTCATGGCGACAGGTCGAGCCTCTTCTGGAGAGTTGCACTAACCCGACCGACATCAATGGACTGTCTCCCTCTCTCTCTCTTTACCTCGCTCTGGTTTTTCACTAGGGGAGGTACAGTTAAGATAAAAACACTGCGGAGAAGCCACGCCGGTGGAAGGGGTATTCGAGTGCGTATCAAGGCCACCATACCGCGAGGCTGATGTGGCCATATCGGGATCTTCCCGCCTATTTATAGTCGGTATCCGTTGCAAACGTAGCCACCAATTCCCAAGCAGCATATCCCCCCAGTTCACCATTTCTCTCTCTACATCTCTCCTAGCAGAGGTGCGGTCGAGGGGAGTACCATAAAGGCCGTGGCGCCACCCGAGAGGGGGACGGTCAAGGCGGTAGTATGCGACTCTACTCTACCCTGTCTATTTTCGGTTGGGTCTAGAGACGGCCGGCTCTGATTTGAGACCCTTCTCCTCCCACCCGAACAACTAATAAATGCGGGAGGAGAGACAGAAAGAGAGGGAGAGGTGATGCCTCCCCCTCTCTGTCTCTCGCTCCTTCACCTTCTCTCTCCTTCCACCGTATAAAAAGACTAGACTGGAAAGAATAAGCCAACAGCGACTGCAGCAACACCTTCGCCGAGCCCAACGAGATATCCTAATCCTAATGCCCGTCTCCATCATCCCCCTTCACAGCTCTGCACGATATCTCTCTCCACTTTCTCTCTCTCTCTCTCTCTCTCTCTCTCGCTCTCTCTCTCTCTCTCTCTCTGTGCCGAAAGGACGCGAGAGCCGGCGGCTCCTCTGGTCTATTTTGAGTCGTATTTATCTACCGGAAGAAGACAACTCGATATTCTCCCTCTGGAATTGACAATGCGAAATGGACGACCCAAGTAAGCTCTCGAATTATCCTTCAGTCTTTGGTGCTGGCTCACCCTCCCGTACCCCCCCCCCCCCTCCCCCAACCTCGCCCTCATCGATCGTCCCACTAGGCCCTGATTCCAGCACTTAGATCGGTCTTTTTATTAGACTATGGAAAAGAAATGAAGATTCATAATGAATTTTTTTCAAGGTCTTCGACCTTAGGCCCTGAAAAGAGTCTCTACTCATCACATCGATCTAGTATGTATTGGATGGTATTTGGGGAAAGTGTTTTCTCAGATATTGTAACCTTCACATGAAAAAATTGACCGATGATAGGCGTATCTCCTATCAAAAAATTGTAACGTCCCACTAGGACCTTTGTGCCATTGCCTTCGTGGATCGGCGTATCTCCTTCCCAAGGATCATCCCGCCCTTGCGAGGAAGAATTTCCCTGAACCAAACTCGCATGGAGTAGGAAGCAAGGCAGGTGCAGTTTGATTGATCAAGGGGACAGGAACTCAGTTCACGCCAGATGCCTCCCTCCACAGCTGCCCCTCGGTGGATACAAGTCTTGTATCTGTTTGTCGTTCGATTCTCTTGCTTTCAGAAATTTCCGGCGCCGTGGCTTCCAAGGCATGGGAGGTGGAAGGGGAACATCACCTGTTCAAGGAGGTACGCGCGTTGACGTGACGGAGAGCAGGGGCAAACACGACGGACTGGCACCAGTGAATCGGCCCCCTCACATCTTTCCCTGTGGAAGCCCGATAGCGATAGGACAGTGACGTCGCCGCCCCTTCAGTGATAGAATCTGACGATAAGGACACAGGGCTTCCGTCTCCGCTCCTAAAAAATAGAAAGGATTCGCCTGCGCCGTTCATCGATCCGAATGACGACCAACACAAGGGGAAGAATATTATGAACAAGAACAGGGGTAAGAAGAAAGGCCCAGTTAGTGCAGCGAGCCCGGGTGGAAACGCCAGATTTGTTACCAGAGAATTCTCGCCGATGAGCGCAGCAAGTGGGGGGCGGCCATCGATGTACCCGCCGCCGGGATCTGTCTGGTTCCCTTCGCCTTGCCGGCTTTCGATCCAGTGGGGAGATAATAACAAGAGACATCTGCCGAACCCACCAGCTCTCCGCCATGATTAATCCAACTCCAGGGCAGGTGTGTGGGGTTGGGGGTCGAGGTGGAGCTTATGCATTTTATAATAAAGATTGTCCGAAAGTCGTGCTGGCTACTTACTGGTTTGCCACACGCGCAGGCAATTTTATGCGTCATCATCTCCAGAGTCGGCGAGCAGCAGTTGCCTTGGAAGGAAGCGCCAGATCCCCGGCGACCCGCCATCTGCGAACAATGAGTACGCTGGAAATAAATTGGCCGGCGGTCTATTCGGCGTGTCTCCTCGAGCAATTCCGTCGACGCCACCCAGATCCTCGCCATCTCCGGTGAGGGTCACTCAGACCTTTTGTTATACAAAGTAATAAATCAGCATTTACAGCGATGGTGACTACCGTCGAAGGGTAAACTCGCTTGGGTCGCGGACACTTCGGTCGTCCTATCCTACGCCTAGAGAGATCATGAGAAAGCAGCGGGGAAACTTGGATTGTTGTGAGTAAGCTTTTAACAAGAAAACTTTAGGATAGTCACAGATAATGGCATTCACTGACGTCAAAAACTGATCTCACGCTCTCATGCTGACAGACGCTTGTATGGCAAGCTTGCGCTTGCGAAATGTGACAACGGGAGAACGGACAACAGAAAGAAATGAATAACGAATGGTGTAAACTTCAGTTTGTATTGGCGTGTGACAAGAAGATGTGGGGACTTGAGGGAAACACAGACCATGGACATCCCGGTTGTCAGCAAGCGACGTGTCAAAATGGCTAAGATCGCACGCCGAAGTCGTAATCCGAGAATCGACAGATCAGCGATAGCCGGGCATCACGCCATGAAAACTTGGAGGCTCGCATTCTTGATGGAGCAACAAATAGGACAGGTGTCGACGGCGACATCGCACTGTTTGCACAGGCATAGGTGCCGGCACGGAAGCATCAGCACTGACACCTCTCGCTCAAGGCACACCTTGCATACACTTCGTCGGCAAAGCTCCTTCGACGACTCCTTCGCGTCCGCAACCAATGTTTCCTTGTAACAGAACGAGTAAGCGTCGGTCGACATAACTGCCGGCGCCGGAAAGTCCGTTTCACCAAATCCCTCTTCCTGGTCCTGCAACGCGGTAGGAGGCGCTAACGCGCCTTCTGCGAGAGCCTGCTCTAGCATGGCGCGGAGGCTAGAAACAGCGGCTTCATTACTCCGGGCGACGTGGATCCATACTTGATTGTCCGAGGCCAACTGACTGACCTTCTCCTCGAGCTCCGCATTACGGCGGCTAATGGATTCCAGCTCCGCCTCCTTCTCCATCAGAGCGTGCAGAGCTCTTCCTCGAATGGCTGTCAGGATTGACCGACACTGGCGTTTCCGCGTTTGATCCATTTCCATTCGGATCCTCTCATTCTGCATAGCAGGATCCACTTCGGTGAAAAAATTAGCATAGATTTCAGATGGTTCTGATAAAGAAAATAAAGAAACCGCCCAGCGGAATTCTTCCCCTAAATTTCTTTACAAGTTGGAGACGATCCGTTACCTGGAGCCGAATGAAGGCATCAATCTCCAGATTTTGGTTGTGTATCAGCGAAATGAGTTCCTCTGAAGGTGTGGGAATCCCAAGTTCCGTTGCCGCAGGAACCAGAGCACCGGCGTGCGGCCTGCCGGTCGTCGATGTCATCTCCGAATCGTTCAATCGGTTATTCCCGTTGGGCACCTGCAAGAAGGGTGGCGTCCCTGCACACGGCGGCACCACCTTGGAAGGACCAACATCCATGGGGACACCGTCTACCCGCGTCTGCTCCGGCTGAAGGCCGGGCGGCACGAACCAGTGGCCTACATTCCCGTCGCACACTCTCTTGCGAGGTCCGGAGGCGATACACGTGAGCTCGCTTTCCGGCTCGCCGCTGAAGCCAGCGGCACCGTTAAGCAGGGCGTCCTGCTTCGATACGACGCCCCAGAAGACGCTTCCGGCGCGCGAGGGGCCACCGACGGAGCCATTGACGAAGACGCCGGCGGCAGCGGCGCCGCCCACGAGCCGGGGAACCTTCCGGCGATCCCCCTGGACGAAGTGTTGTGCGCCGGAGGGGTACTGCGCCTGGACCTCCATTCCGATCGCCGTAGAAACGCAGAAGACGCCTGGCGGTGAACAGAAAGAGGTAGCGGTTGCGGACATATTTATACAGAGAGGAGATGATCGTACAATCCCTTCAACCAGTGGAAGATAAATATTACTTTTGCATTTACTTGCTAAAAGAGATAACAGTTAAAAGGTGGGGTGGGAAGGGACGAGTCAGCACAGGTCACGGTTGTTGGTGGGACCCCACGTCGAAGAGTTAACCGTAAGGGGGCCCACACTACTGACCGAGGCTCTAGGATATTGGGGCGGGGGCCCTCCGTGGGCCACGTAAGCCCCGGGGCCCCGCTTGGTCAGACGTGGATCCGTGGTCGTCGACGAAGATGTAGATCGTCGGCTGCATGTGTGATCGTCAGTCGCGTCCCTACCGCCGTGGCTTCCCCACCACGGCTCTGCTCCGCGCGCCCGAGGGGGCTGTGGCCCCCCGCGCGGCAGCGTCGGCGAGGACTCCGCGCTGCGCTGCGCGCTGTGGCCTCGGTGCCTGTCGTCCTACCGGCCCCATCCATCGCCGCACCGCTCCGTCCCAGCACGAAGGTGGGCGGCTGTGTGCCTCGGAAGAAGAGGAGCCCTCGCTGGAGCCACGAGCCCCCGCAAGTTGCCGCCGCCACCGCTGCGGTCGACTGCCGCAGCTCGACGCGACTGCCGATGCCCCCTTCCCCTCCCCGACGGTCTAGTTCGTCCCTTCCGCCGCCGCAGGCAGCTTCGGTTCGTCTTCTTTCTGGGAAAGGTCGCCTCCGTAGCACCGTAACGTGCGGTTATCTACCACGACGACCCCCGTGGCTGCGATCTATCAACAAGCTATTACGCCGAGTAATTTAGGGCCAGGCAGCGCAGAGTCCTGTAGGAGATGCCCACTCGCCTCGTTATTTAACACCGCCGCGTCTGCTCGGTTCTTGAAGACGACAAAGAGAGAGAAAGAGAGAGGACAGAGAAGAGTCACCCCTTTTCCCTCAACTTTCCCCGTCACTTGTTCCTTGCAGATGAAAGAAAAGAGAGCGGTGGGGTGTCAGTGACGGCAGGTATAAATCCCACATCGGCCGCAGTCGTGACGCCCCCTTCCCCTCTTTCTCTCTCTATTTAATCATCGCGGTCAAGATTCCGGCTCAACCCGCATTTCAAAAAGCATTTTTTAAAATATATTGTTGTGTGGGTGCGTTGCAGAACGAGTAATTAATTACGCGACTCACCTTGGTTTACGGAATTAAAATAAATTACAGGCGTTCTGATTTTCTCATGTTAAGTGAACACCCTATTGACGGTTACTTCCTTCCTCGCTGTCGTCCTTGGAGTTAACGGCGTGATGACGGAGAAGGGTCTCTGAAATTCCCAGCATTTTCGGAAAAATTAAATAAAACGAGGTAAATACTTTCTTTGAATCTGTACATAGGAGCGGGCTTTGAAGGACGAGGGGCCCACACGACGCGGTAAGGGGTCACAAATATGCCGTTCTCTGTCCCTACGCCACGTACATGCTCTACGGCGCTAGATGGGAACTTCCAATTTACTAGAGGATTTAGTCGATTAAAAAAACTAATTTTGAGCATTTTTTTGGCTAATTCGGCCAAAATATACTCTACATAGAACAGTTTTCTCGCAAAAATATCTTTCCACACGAAATGGAAACCTGAATCAAGGAGGAAGTCGACAAGCGATCACCAGTCAATGCATTCTCCCCTACACAAGGTGGCTAACAAAGTCAAAATTAGTTACTATTTATTGTGTCATTTAATGTCTAACGAATGAAACATCACCGAAGCAGGCTCGTTGGTGAAACATGGTCTCACGGAATCCTTCTCTATTGTTTTTATCATAGATATTTGAGTTATCAATTATCACATGGGTATACTGCCTATCTTCTATCAAACACACAACATGTCCTCCTCTCTCTCTCCTGGTCCATGTGTAGGTAGCGGCAAGGCTCTGCAGGTCGTTCTCGGGGTGTACAACGCATCGACAGGTACGTGATGCCGAGAGTCACATGGGCCTTCGTGGCTCGCGGTGGCACTACGGAACGCGGCGAACGATATCCTGCCTGCTCGCCGGCGCCTGCAGTCCAGCATTGAATTGGTGTGGGCATACGGGAACTCACCACAGGGAAGAGGAGGTCCATTCGGACGGCTACCAACCGGACTGGACGAAGTCGGCCTCCGGGCTCAACCAAAGTTCTTCAGCTTTGTTGGCATTAGCGAGCGAGCGTGAGAGAGAGAGAGAGAGAAGAGAGAGAGAGAGAGAGAGAGAGAGAGAGAGAGAGAGAGAGAGAGAGGGAGGGAGGGAGGGAGAGAGAGAGAGAGTGGAGGAACAGGGCATGTGCTCGAGGAGGGTCCCGGGGGGAGGAGAAAGAGATTTGGAAGTTGGGGAGACAAGAGGAGGCGATAATGGTGCCTGTGCACGTGCCGAGGAACGCTGCGTTTTTCGTTTGCATGGATGGACGACCTGCCTGACAACGAGCTGGCATGTGTCTCTTGTCCCCGCTGCAAGTCCGAATGCGAGAGAGCGAGAGAGAGAGAGGCACGACATCTCCCTCCTCTTCCCCGTCTCCATCTCACGGAATCTCTCTCCTCTTTACATTTCAAGGTGGCGGCAGTTTGAAGCCATCAAATGAGGACGTTGATGCGGATGTGATGGACCCATCGTCTCTCTACTGTTTCAACCCACCCACCCTTATCATGTTAGAGGGAAATCCGGTGGAGCGGTGATGATCGCCGTTACTGACGCATTGCGTAGCACGTATTATTGTATCATTCAATATACACTTTCAGAGACGAATAATGAGTAGGTCCATGCATCTAACTGCGGGTCCACTTGTCTCTCCACTAATTGGTATTGTTCCAGTAGACGTGAAAGATATAATTGAACTTGTATAATAGAAAACTGTTCTTATGAAGAGTAATGAAAGTCTATCGGGTCAGGGAAAGGCTTTGGAAGCGTTTTCCAAATCTCAGGTGCTTGAGGAATGAATACATATGCGTTTCTATCTATTTGAATGCATACGAATATGAAAAAAATGAAAATTACCCATTAAATAGGATACCTCTTTAAGATAGAACGTTCAACAGTAAACCTGGAAAACAACGAGGCACTGCGTTTTTTTCTTTTTCTTTCTTCAATGCCAACCAATATTCAGCTCCCATGTGTGGCTTATCGGAAGGCAGTTGATACAGAACAATAGAAGACAGCGAAACTTTATGGTTTTTTTTTTCTTTCTTCAATGCCAACCAATATTCAGCTCCAACGTGTCGCTTATAGGAAGGCAGTTGATACAGAACAATAGAAGATATCGAGACTTGCCGGAAGAATCGCACCTCGTCGGCATTCAAGACGCTCCAACTGACCAGACTGAAGGGATGGCCCACTCCACGGATTCATTCACGTATTTTAAGCCGTTTTAAGTTCGGGTGACATGTGTAGCTTAGATTTCTGATCGTCTACTGCCTATGTGGTTAAAGACGTGGAGATTAAAGAGAAGGGATGCCTGATACCTACAGTGGCTTTGTAGGACAGTGACACTCGAGTCTTGAGGATCCTAGAGGTCGAAACTCTAGTGTCAAGGCCTTTGAGTTTATATTACTAGCGCCCGAGTAAAGAGATTTTGAGAAGGGTTGGCCTGAGTAATGGTGGCGAACCACCATAATCTCTACATATGTTCATCATGTGTGACATATTAAATCTTTCACACCACTTGCTGAAGAGAAGAGCTCAATTCACCCTCCTTTCCTCTCTAGCTCATATATATGACACATTTAGAACATTAATTGATAAGTCTTCATTATCATGAGTTAATAACTTATAAATAATAAAATTTTAGCCTTAACTCATGATAAATAGATTTATATTTATGTTAAATTATGAAAAATAGTTTTCAGTTGATTAACATGAATTTTTGACTAATTATATGATTTTATACAAATTTATATGATTTTCATAATCCTATTTTTGAGATAAATGAAGAAAAAGAAATTAAAATAAAAATATAGCAAAAAAAAGGGACATGTCGACTAGCTGGGCTTACAAGTGGGTTGGAAGCGTAATTGGTGAGAGCTGCGAATAGAGGCTCGAGCAACTAGGACCAATGGGGGCACATGTACGCCACTCCTCTATCACATCACCAGTGGTTAGCCAACTATGGAGCAAGAGTGGTTGTACATGTGAGAGAAATAAACTCATTACTTGCAAATGTGATATTACTATATATTGGTCCAAAACTTTGGCACACAAGTAATGTGGGACTAAACTTGCATCACACTTTTCCTCAAAAGGCTTCAAAGATTTTAATATATAAACTACCTCTTAATTATAACAGAGATATACTATGATGACGTTATTTGATAAAGGCATTAGAGTATTTATTTTAATCTTTCTCATGCAGGCAGATAACTAGCATAGGTTCAAATCCTCCTAGAGTTAAAATTCGTATTTTTATCTGATTATCGTAACTTTTCTGATCACCGGTGAAGGATTAATCCATTAGAATCACTAAATCATTGACGAAAATTTCATCAACACGATTTGTAGACCATTGTTATTAAACTTACTAAATGATTCACGATAAAAGGATTAGAAATTTATTAGAAAAATCATTTCTAATTGATCGACGAACAAGTCATTGTTAAAAAGAAGACTATTTAGCATAAGACGAGTCGCCACCTCTTGAGAGCGTACCTGATGCAATGAAGAGCCTCCTTTTGCTGTGCGGACCTAAAGATGAAGCTCTCTGACACATGTCCCACTTTCATTTAGTTCTTCTTTGTCGGGTAACAGCCACCGAAGAGTTGCAAACTCACCTTTTTTTGCTCCACTGAGTGACAGCCACAGGAAACGATTCGATGACTCATTTTATTGATCTCTAGACTTCATAAGGAGATATAGAGATTGCCTATGTCGTCCTTATCCGAGGAGAACCTTCGAGGCTATGGACACTACATGACGATCCTCTTGAACGCTCAAGATTCTAATACATCGCCAACGGACCGCCGCTGCAATGTTAGAACTTTGTTTTCTTGCTTTCAATTTAATTTTTACTTCATTTAGTGATAATTTGTGTGATTTAAATTTACCAAGCTATACTTCATTCAATTACAATTCTTCTTACTTTTATAGATCTTAATTTGATCAATTAAATTATCTATAATCACTTACGTAAGAATCACTGAGTAGAATTCTATTTCTATCTGATTCGCATTTGTCGAGCACTGATGTCACCTTGACGTTCAGACCCTTGTTTCTTTTTTTCATGAATTATAAATATATTTTATTTTTATTTTTTAATATAAAATTTATAAAAAATCGTATTCTTTGAGAAAAATTCTGAAACATTACTCGATATTATATTATATCCCTGTGATTGACTTGGAAAAATTATCACTATTTTTGAAAAATTTATTGAATTATAATTAATATATCTATTCAGAAATACTTCTAAATATCTAAAAATTGATATTTTCTAGTTTTATAAATTTTAAATTTGCGTGATTTATTATGGAACGACTAAGTCACATCACCAATATTGGTGTTAGAGAAAAATAAATACATGAATTAAAATATCTTGAGGATTTCAGCATGTTTATATTAAGAAGGGAGACATTTATTGAGTGTTCCCTCAAAACACTGATTGACCCTATTTGATGAAATAAATTATAAATTAGAAATGTGTAAGAAAATATTTCTTTAAGAAAGTGACTATGATGCTTCGGATGTGATTGTAAGTCATTCTCATAATGCTAGATAGATCTATATGAATTCTATGTAGATTTGGAAAAAGCTAGATTGAGTTTATACAACTGATTCAAGTAATCAAGACTTGAGTTACTTTAATATCCCTACGACTTATTTACTACCACATCAAATGAATTTATTGATGAGATGCTTTTCAAAATCTCGAAATGCCATAAATTGATTGGAAAGTTTGGTCAAAATTTATTTAAATTCTAGAATATTGTCAAAAGTGTTTAGATCACTTGCTTCTTATTGGAAGCTAAAACTTATAGCAATCTATGAAGGAAACGATGCTATCAAAATAAGTAATAGATGATTTAATAAATCTATAATCATTGAAAGAAATCATCTCATGTAAAGATATTTTAGCTAAATCCTTCTAGAATTGAAAACCATTTGCTTTAAGGGGTGTGGATTTTATTGTCTAATTCAATCTTAGATGTATATTGACAAAATCATCTTTACTTCTAGCAATCTCAAAGGTATCTATTGGAAATAGAAAGTAATCATAATCAATGTTTTACTAAAACCTTTGATAAACAAAGAAATTAAAAACATGATCGTTTGTATTTAGACAAAAAGTAGTAGCCACAACATAGTGTACTAAATATTGTGGTTGCTAAAGATTTACTAAAGAGTAAAATGTCAATTTATTTGTGTCGGTCTAAAAAACCACGCTTATTTTAAAACATTTTGATGATGACAAATATAATATATGAAAGGAAAATGGATCAAACTATGATAATAATTGTAAAACATATTAATAAGATTGAGTTACATTAATTATAAATTTATTGATAATAAAGGTTAATGATATTAAATTTTCAAATGTTAGTTTATTAATTTGAAATCCATATTGATAGTTAAATATCCACACAAAATTATTATATTCCTAAGCATGTTTACACTTTTTAAGAACTATAAAAATACCACTTTTGAAATGTAATGATTTGGTCATTGAACAATGTTTAATATTTTGAAGTAAAAATATTGAGATAAAATTTTAAAGCATTATAATAATTTTTGTTAGGACTATAGGGTTAGGTCAAACTCTAAGATGTGGGTTGAATTAGGTTTCTAAATGTTTTAGCTATTTTTCATTTTTGGCTAATTTTCTATTTTTGTTACTACTAGATGTGTCAACATGTATGTGTGTAACTCTCTCTCACTAAAAACACTGAGATTTTTACATTAGTTCCCCCCTCACTTGATTATGTTCAATCTCATAGTAGTATTTCTACCGGTGTTGTAGTATTTCTCTCATGAAATACACATTGATGATTACAAACCTGGCCACTCAACCACTCAAATTCATCTTTACAGAGACTCCACCCTTTTAGGGCTAAAATAGCTACTAGTATCTCATACTTTCACTCAATAACCTTTGATGGCGAGCGGGACCCGTCTCCATCAGCTCAAGAGACACCGGCAGTCCGAGTTCAGCCTGATCGACGTGCAAAGACGAAGGAGCCTAACTTTTGCTACACGGCCTAGCCCTTTGAGACAACGACATTCCACCTTCGCGACGACGACGAGTTCGAGCTCACCCTTATCTTTCTTTGTATTTTCACGTTGACTTGTTGGGCCTCGCATTTGTGTGTTAGTGGGCCCAATTCTATGTGTGTGTGTTGTTGTTTGTGTCTCCCTTTCTTTAGGGTTTATTGGGTCTCTCTTTTGAGGCCCAATTAAAACCCTAAGGGGGGAGGACTTCTGTTTCTTTCCTTTTGGGCCTCTTTTGGGGTTTATTTGGGTCTTCATTTGAGGCCCACTTAAGCACCGTACAAGGGCCCTCCTCTTTCTCCTTTTAGGGGAGCTTATTGGGTCTCTATTTTAATAAGGCCCTTTTGTAGCCTTTTTGTGGCTTATGGGCTTGAGGGCCTCAAGTGGGCCCACCTCCCCTTAGCCCACTTGTGGGCCCTATATAAAGGGAGGTAGGACCCCCCCCTCAACGAGAAGCGCCAAATTTTGTGAGAGATTATCGTTTGTGAGTTACCTTCTTCGTGACCTAGGATAAGGGAGGGAAGGAGGGAGAGGAAGGCCGTCAATACCCTTTGAGGACTTCATTCATCGTGATGCTGTTGCCTGAGAAGTCTCGCTGCCGCCTGAGACCAACTGCCGCCGCCGGACATCTTCATTGCCGCCCGTGAGATCACTGCCGTCACTGGACGAAATGGTCGCGGTTGCCGCTGCAACCGCCGCCGCCTTTGCTGGAACCCCTGTCACGCCATCATGACGAAAGGGGCTTGCTTCGCCTCCCTATGAGCCATCGCCGAGCACTTTGCCGGAGTCTCTTGACTTCGAGTTCGACTGCCCTCTCTTCCTTCGGAACTCCACCATAAACTCGCCAGAGCCACCATCCGCCGCTCTGCATAGTCGCTGGCCATTTGCCGACGAACACCTACCTGCCGCCGACGTCAGGAGAGACCCTGCAGCCGTGCCGACGAGCCAGATCCAGTCCAAGCTCCGCACAGGCCCCCGCCAGAGTTTCCCGACGATCCGCCGCCGTCGCGCCGTTTCCGGCGCCGCCGAGACCAGGAGGGCTCAACCCTCCCTGGTATCGTCGGCTGGGATCGTCTCCTTCTCCGCTTCCCGGCGCCGCCAGAGAAGGCCGATCCTTCCGGTGATGGTTGGGCTTCCGCCCAACCGCCAACGCTCGGCATTCCCGCCGAAGCGCCGCCGCCGCACGCGCCCCGCGCGCCCACCCGGCGTCGCCGCCCGCGTGCCCACCCAGCGTCGCCGCCCGCGTGCCCCAAGGCACGCCCGCACAGCTTGCCGCGCACGTCCGCTAGCGTTCCCTTTGGCCCACCAACAGGCCCACGCCTGCGCCGACCGCGCCACGCCTTACGACGACGACTACTGCGACTCTCGACCAAGACCGACCGTCGACACTTAGCATCGCTCTTCACCGGACGTCTCTGCTTACGTCGAGTCTCCGCTCTGTCACAACCCGCCGGGCTACGCAGCCCCGAAGGTTAGCTCCATACCCCTTCTTACTTAAGTTTAATTATCTTTCGAAGGGTTTTCTCAGCTCATTTCCACCGCCATCTGAAGAACGTAGGCAAGATAAGACGGGTTATAGGATCGTGACTTCTGATGCTACGTCAAACTCGTCACCGTTCATGAGCTGCAGCCCTAGGCTACTTCACGACGACTGTTCCGCCGTCTGTCTAGATGTGGACCGAGAGGGTCTCACACTTACCATCGTTGAGTGTTTCCCTGGGTTGTCTTGAGTTGATAGTGCATATTGGTACGCCTGCCTGTACTTAGGTTAGGTGGTCAGACCTAGAGTCTAGGGTCCATACATTCTTATCAGATCGGTCCGACTACCCCATCCTAGGTCTTGAGTTTCATTGATCAGGTACAAGAGTTCTCACTCCGTCCTGCATCAACCTCTCCCCTCACCACTTAGTTACCTTAAGACCTAATAGAGAGTATTTTTCTTTGAATTAGATGTCATTCAAGTTGTTGATGTTAGATGAAGATCATGGTACAACTTTCTATTAATTATTGATGTGTCTAGTAGGAAGAGCTTGGGTTTTTCATTTGGATATTTGTCTTGAGACTTGTATTATATTTCTCAAGTCTTTCCTTATAGATTAATAATCATCTTCTAATAGTTTCCAACTTTAATATGATCTTGAACATTTAGGAAACATGTTAAAAAACTTATTATTTTCTAGAACATGTAGTAACATCCTTTTACCCTTCTGTATTTCAAATCTTTCTATTCTTTTATTTATTTGAGTTGAAACTTGAATTGGACCTTGCTCAATAGTGAATAATTTTCTTGTGGAGATCAAGTCAAATAATCACATTCATGTTGATTTTTCATCTACATAAGTCGATGACATGTCACCATTGACATGTTGAGTTTGAGACTTTTTTAAGACAATTATTTTTCAAACTGTATTGATGTCTTATCTATGTGAGAGTGTAGAAAATTATGTAAAAGGCCATTTAGGAAAACTAGATGATGTATTTCAAGGTTAGTTTAAATATATAATAAAAATAATATCATGATCACAAGTCACCTATACTAATTTAACCATATATATAATATATATCTTATCAAATTGTGATTCCTTGATAGATATGAATCAACAATTAAGTGTTCCTCTCATGAAGAATCTTTAGATCTCAATGATTAATACTTTGGATTTGATTGTTACTTATATGATATGAAATCAATAAATATAACTCATATGATATTACAATGAACACACCAAATATTTGATGTAAATTCATGACATATATGCATGACTCTCAATATTTCAATAAATAAACTTTTCACTTGTAACCAAGGGTCTCAAGAGATTTATGTAATTGAAAAGATCATTATGAATTTATTTAACACGGTTTTAATAAATTATATCAAAAATATTCATAGTAATTTAAATATTTATTTTAAATATTAATATTAATATTGTATATTTTTATGAAGAGTCACTCAATATACCTTTTGAATATTTTATTTGAGGTAATTTACATTTAGTTTGACATTAAAGTTTTTATTTCAAGATGTATTTACAAATATTTGAGGTATCAATATGTTTTAATGATAACATATCTGAGGTATCAAATAAAGTTGCTACTTTATTTAATATTTCATGAGTAGAAAATAGGACAAGAGTGTGACTAAAATTTATTTATGAATTTAGCCCTTTTCCAATAGCTAACTAACTCTTGAGCGATCATCCTCATGTACTCAATGCCCTTGAAATTTACTCTAATAACTTTGTAGTATTTTTACTAGTCAATTTTACCAAAGAAGATAACACATTGATGAGCAAATTTTGATTGAAAATGAGTTATCTTCAGTCAAGTTTAAGTGACAATAGCTTTAACATTTACATAGCTTCTAGAGATGAAGATGAAGCATATAATCAAGAGCAATTCCATTACCTCTTCTTTTGATGAAGATGAAGTTTAAGTGACACTAGTAATTAAGCTTTGCCTATAACACTAAGACATCTAATGCCTATAATATGCTTTGGCCTTTGATCGTCTCTTAGTCATTGTATTAAGAGATGCCAAATTTAAAATTTATAAAACTGAATTCACTTTAAGATAAATCAAGTCATCATCATTTTGATGTAAATTCAATTGTTTGGATGAAGTTAAAACTAATATGAACCAAAACCATCAAAAAATCAAATAGAAGAGGGATTGAAATCAGGATTTTCCTCCTTTGACATTGGAGATGGGTGGACAAATGAGTTCAAACAAAATCCTGACTAAAATCCTTAAAAAATGATTGTTTCTTTAATTCATTCACTTGTCACTTGAATTAATTAAAGAAACAAATTCAGAATGACATAAATATCAGATTTTTATAAAGAATAAGTGAGAAATCAATGAAAAACTAGAAAAACACCGCTACCTATCACTTGGCAAAAAGAGGAAAAAATAATCATTTTTTGTCCTAAATTTGAAGTTTTTATATTCCCATTAGATCTAGAATACATTAATAGTGAACAATCAACTTGCTAAAACTTTGTTTAATTTTTAGTGAAAATCAGCTGTCATTTATCTATCCATTTTTTCATCTATTTTCTATCCATTTTTTGGTCATTTCCCACTATTTCTAGAAATTTTCACCAATTTTCGTCCATTTCTCAAATTATTTTAATTTAATTAAATAAACTGACAAAAGAAGCCTTAATGGGCTTCTTTAATGAGCTCATGATTTCCTGATAAATCAACACTTATTACATAAATATTCTGAAAAATCATAAAAAAATAGGAAAAAATATTTTTATCCAACAAAATGAATTTCAAATCTTAAATTCCGATTTTTTTCTTGATAATGACAGATTTAATGATAAAAATGTAAATTAAATCATATTAGTACATAATAAATGAATATTCTAAATATAAGCATGTCATAAAAGTATGTACAAATCACACATTAAGTATGTATTTCATGTACAAAGTCTAATAGGCTTTACTTAATCTTTCATTAAATATATATCATTTAGCATCAACTAATGCACCTAATATACTAATTATTCATTACTTATCACACAAAAATAATGTATTATTAACCTAATTAAAAGTGTGAAAATGAAGAGAATTTAAATTTGAAAATATAAGAAAGATGTGCATTTCGAATTATAAGAAAAATTAATGTAAGCCTAGAATTCTGTGTTTATAGTAAATTACAATAGGTAGAGGGTTGAATTATTATAAATTTCTAACATTCCAAAGATCTAAATATACGAGATCAATATAAACTAAAGATTACTAGAAGAGGTCAATATATATTAGAAAAGTATGTTACAATGAATTTGAATTTGATCAATTCAGCCCCCCCTTCTTGAACTTAGTATGGCCCCACCTCCAACAATTTGATTTCTAGTTAGAAAAAAGTTAAATTATTTATTAATTTTATTAAATATATATTTAAATATTTTAAAGAAAACTATTAGTGAGAATTGGATATTAAATTATTAATTTTAACAGTGTTGCTTAGAAGAATTTAGGTTTGTAAACCTAAAGTTTACCAAATTTATTTTGAAAAAATAACTTTCATGATTGGTTATAGTCAAATGAGAGAAAGAATTCCTAATTTATCTGGACAACAACATTGTCCTGTGACATTAATTTCGAAAATACTCTTATCTTGAAGGATTAGGACATAATGATATGTAACTAATAGATATTTATTAGGATTTGTACTTTAAATCACTTATTCGAGTTATTTCAATGTGAAGATATAGCCTGAATTAAAACTATTTAATTGCAAGACTGCTGTTCAGATAACTGTAGAGAAGAAAGACAATTTTTTTAAATAAGTATGATACTATTTTTTTTGGTTAGATAAGTCAAGTTTGAAAAACTTATAACAAAATAGTGTTAGAAGTTAAAACACTTATCCAAAAAAAATTATAAAATAAAAGATAAAAATAAAAACCATAATTAATTTTTGTGAAATGACAATTCAAAATGATGCTGAACACACTAAAATTCAATCTTTATACTTTAGAGATTGTGAACAGTGTTAGTAAGGATTTTTCTTAGATAAGTTTGTTGGACTACTAGTGGTACAAAAAACTCGTATAAATATATCCATTAGCTTCTAATATTTAAATTTGAATCATAAATTTTGAAACATGAATGTGTCTAGGACTGTTATAACAATAGAAGGAAATATGAAAACAAACTACTTTTCTTGCTGTGAGATGTTTGAGGCTTACACAACTCATGAGATCAAGATTTTGTAGTTCATGGTTAAATCTCATAATGCCTAAGCACTTAGCTCAACATTCAAGTACCACCTAAAGATACCCCATTATAGGTTCTTTAAGTTGACCTAGTTTACTTTTTATTTTCATGAATCCTTTTGAACTCAAGTTAGACTTATGGTAGTTTAAAAGACTATGTTAGGACTTTCAGAAGAAAAGTAATACTTGGTTAGATGTCATCTAGTAGAGATACCCCACCTAAGTCACGAAAAGATGAGGGTTAGCTTAAAACAACCCTCTACAAACATTTATTTCACACATGCTACTTTATTTTCAAGTATGCCCATTTTCTAAAAGTGATACAATTCAACTCCCCTTTTTGTAGCATCAAAGATTGGCTTTCAGCTATATCAAGCTAGGACTAGAAGCACATGATCATAAATTTTCTTTGCTCCACATGAAATAAAATTTGGTATGAAAGCCATAGTTTCAATTGCAAGCTAGGGTTCATCTTTGTGTTCTTCATTAAAGTTTACAGATGAAGGAGAAAGAGGAAGTTCTATCTAGCATGAGAAAGCAAGTTTGTATATTCAGCAACCTTCTATGCTAGTTTGCAATGAAAAAAAATATGTTGTCTAGAGTGTGAAAATGATGACAATACTTGAGAAATGATATTTAAGATATTTTTGAAGAAGGCCTAAAAGAACTAAAAGACATGGGTGATTTATCTCACACATAACATTTCTATTCAAGGGTAGGAAGAAGATAGTAAGAATTTTTCTTTCATTTAAGAAGTGATAAAAAATTGTATATTTCTGAGAATCATGAGATCTTTTAATGAAAAATAAGTATGGTATATTATAAAAGAAGGGACTCATGGTGATGCGAAGTAAGAATCATAAAACTCTTTTGTAGAAGAGAGTTAAATATTCTAAAGATGAAAGAATCATATTCCTTAGGTGATTATTTTCAAATAGGACAACTAGCTAGCAAAGTTGGAAAACTTGGTATGAAAAATGAGTAACAAAATAGTTGAAAATAATTTTATTAGTTCACAGTAAAAAAATTATAACAGAATTCTATTATAGGTGAAATTGAGGCAGCAAAGATATTTCACATACCTCAGATGAGTACACGAACTATTGTGTGAACAAGTGATCACACAAGATCTGTCCATCCACCTATTAAGACTTAGGAGAACCAATATAAGGATGATGTAACAATAAAAATAAGTCCACATTGACATTTAGAGTCTAAAAGCAATGAGGATCATGGCTGATGAGAAACACTAAAAGATTATGGCACTATTTTTTTATCTAGGATGATGGAGGAAGGTAAAGATGTATACTTGATATTATTGGCACAATCAAGAATAATGCATGAGAAATCAATAATTCAAACAATGGATTAGAGTAG